CTATTTTCTCATTATTATGTTACTACTCAAACATCCTATTTCAATAAATTTCAACAATTGTCGTGAATATTTCGTATGTCTAGAATATGTCCCGTTTATTTCTCCTTTATTCCAATGTCATTAGGTCCCTCAGTCTATCCCCATAGCACATTCCCGCCAATTCTGAGACTATTTTACATCATAACTCTGTACATTCTCAATGTTTACCGTGTTTATGCTGCCCGTTCTCGCGAGCGTATCCTAATGTACAAGGGGAGACCCACGAACGGAAAACGGAACATTATGTCAGTTTCGCGAGCCGCGAAATTTTCTAGTTACTGTAATCTAGTACGACAGTTTTTGGGCATTACGTAAATTAGACATATGCCGCATATATCATTCAGAGAGTATCCTTCGACTAGGTTCCTGTCTTGGCTCCACGACAGCCTTTGAGTAAGCCGTCGTGGTGTTCACCAGCTTAGTGTAAGCTACTGATATGCTTATATTTGTGCCTCTGGGTAAAGGCAAATGACATTTTCACAGTTTTCCTCCTATTACAGTGCTGAGGCAGGGCCGGATCATCACCTTCGTTGGTTATAGGCACATCCAAGGTATGGCGCCAGACTTGACAGCATATTTTCAAATTCAAATTCAAATATTCAATAATAAAACAAGCTTACAGAGGTATGTAGAAGACAACTGAAATATATATTATATACATTTTGTGTTCTTTTTGAAACAAACTTTCTTCTACTATCTTGCTATCATCTATGGCCAGAAAATGCCTAGATAGAATAGTATAAAAAATAATCAAGTAAAATAAATAGATACTGATAGGATTGTGTAATAAATAGATGGACAAAAAGTACATTGTATCAATTTAATAATATCGCATAGAAAAAAAAGGAAGAAAAGTTCTCGTTTTATTTTTCGTAGGCCCCATAGGCACTCTGCCTAATGGGTAATCCGGCACTGTGCTGAGGACAGTGCCAGGGGTGCCGAGGACAGTGCCAGGGGTGCCGAGGACAGTGCCAGGGGTGTCGAGAACAGTGCCAGGGGTGCCGAGGACAGTGCCAGGGGTGCCGAGGAGAGTGCCAGGGGGTGCCGAGGACAGTGCTAGGGGTGCCGAGGACAGTGCCAGGGGTGCAGAGGACAGTGCCAGGGGTGCCGAGGACAGTGCTAGGGGTGCCGAGGACAGTGCCAGGGGTGCAGAGGACAGTGCCAGGGGTGCCGAGGACAGTGCCAGGGGTGCAGAGGATAGTGCCAGGGGTGCCGAGGACAGTGCCAGGGGGTGCCGAGGATAGTGCCAGGGATGCCGAGGACAGTGCCAGGGGTGCAGAGGACAGTGCCAGGGGTGCAGAGGACAGTGCCAGGGGTGCCGAGGACAGTGCCAGGGATGCAGAGGACAGTGCCAGGGGTGCCGAGGACAGTGCCAGGGGTGCAGAGGACAGTGCCAGGGGTGCAGAGGACAGTGCCAGGGGTGCAGAGGACAGTGTCAGGGGTGCAGAGGACAGTGCCAGGGGGTGCAGAGGACAGTGCCAGGGGTGCAGAGGACAGTGCCAGGGGGTGCAGAGGACAGTGCCAGGGGGTGCAGAGGACAGTGCCAGGGGTGCAGAGGACAGTGCCAGGGGTGCAGAGGACAGTGCCAGGGGTGCAGAGGACAGTGCCACTGACAAGCGTCAAATTTAAATTGGAATTCCTTAACCAAATCGTTCTAAGCATGACAACCCACCTATCGACGCTGGCTTCTAACTTGTTCAAGGAAGCCTCAGTGTCGCGTTGCTTTTAATGTCACTCACCCACCGGTTAAAAAATTTAACGCTGCGATCGATAATGGTAAAATTGAGATACATTAATTGTTACAAGTTCCTTAGACCTTTCATGGTAGCGCAAATCTGTATACTTGTCCACTATAATAATCACGACGTAATAATCATGCGAGTTTAATTACTAGATTATGTGCGGAAGGTTCATATAGGGGGATCAAAATAGGTATAGCTGCTATGCCCACGTGCGAAAATTCGGTGTATCCTCGCCTGATAGCCGTGCCCCAGGGGGTGAGTTAGCCGCCCGTTGCTGGGGTGAACTGAGTCACGGCATGGCTGCCATGTCACCGTGACGTGTCCTGTGCGTGTCACGCCCTCTGTAATGCACATGTCATCGGTGACATGTGCTCAGGCATGTCCTAGGTCGAATTCAGTTTCTTGATCACACATTACCGGGAAACAACAATAAAAATCCCATGCACGGACATTTGATTTGGTTTAATGGTTCAAGCGAGGATCACTGGCAGCCCTGCTTGTGTAGCTGTGATTGTATCTAGTGACAGTAGCGAGGACTGGCAGGATTGTGAAGGCTCTATCCATTTATATTGAACAGATTTCTAGGTATATATTATATTAATCAGTCCCCGTTTCAGAGTTATATATAGTCTAGTATAGAGGTTTATTATTCTTTATAAATAGACACACGCTATCGGAGATAAAAAGCTCTTAATTAGGCTTCTGAAGCCTCCCCAATCCAGGAGTAAGGCTTATTTTTATTTGGTTACTCGTCCTGTTTCTGACCAGACCTAGTGGCGCTTAACCTGACATATCCAGTTAAATGTTAAATACTCACAAGGTGTTTGGAACAAGAGGAATTTTGCTCTTGGATGATTCTTCTTACTTTATGTTTAAATGTTGAAGGTAAGCAATGTGTACAGTTTTTGACTCTGTATCTCGAGCCTTAAAAACGGTGTTTACCTATTAGTGAATTAATTATTTTATACAGAGCAGGGAAGCCTACTGACTGTTTTATATCTGTTGCGTTATAATTTAATTATTTTGACGTCCAATTTCTTTGTCCAACTGTTAACCAGCTGTGAGCGGACAAGGCATTTGTAAAGTGGAACGACAGGTTTCGGTGTTGCTTTCACCCACTACTGTACCATCTCGCCAATCTCTTTTTTTTTTTTTCCTGTCAGTATAGTGCGTCAGCGTTTTCGATATGTTAACTTTGATGTGTTAAGTTTCTTGTTTCTTTTCATCTTTTTTTTAATATATATACTATCATAAAATTTTATGTAACTTGAGAAAGAGTAAATTAGACTTTTTTTTACATATATACAGGAGTTCTTACATTCTTGTACAGCCACTAGCAAGCATAGCGTTTCGGGCAAGATCTTAATCCTTATCTTCACACACACACACATGCCCAGGAGACAGCCCGTAGCAGCTGTCTAATTCCCGGGTATGTATTTACTGTTAGGTGAACAGGGGCATCAGGGAGAAAGAAAAGCTGCCCATTTGTTTCCCCGGGGATCGAACCTGGACACCTAGAACTACGAACCCCAAGCGCTGTCTACTCAAGCGTTAGGGGCCCCCTTATATTTCATATGTTATATATGTGCCTCGCTTAATCTAATTAAATGTAAGTTTTACAGGCCGCACTTAATGGTACTAAATTAACCCGATGGGCCAATAATATAGGAACTTATAATCTACTGTACGATGCTTTTCAGCTGGAAAAGATCATTAGGGCAAATGGGGTTACCTTAGACAAGCCGCCGGCTTCCTGTTCTCATCGAGGCCATTAGTATTAGTGGCCCCTCAGGTAAATTCAGGTATGCTGCAGCGGTCCTGATTGGTGTTCAGTGATGGGTTGGAGGTAGTGTGTGGCGCCTGACCCCATAAGATAGTAGGTTGATACAATATACGATCATTATTAAGGGGCCTTCAGTGGCCCCAAATTAGGGACGTAATGTCTGATTTTCAATAGCATGTCGACTATTTAATATATTCTTTATTTAGGTGTTACATTTACCTGATAGTTGAGCTTCAGCTCTTGGATTCCCACCTTTCAACCTTCAGTTGACTGGTGGGAATATATATATATATATATATATATATATATATATATATATATATATATATATATATATATATATATATATATATATATATCCTTATATCTGTCCTAGATATACAAAGAGGTCCACGTATTTGAAGTCGTGCGTGTTGTGAAGACTATATAGTGTGCCTCCACTATACTGTATTCACCTGGTTGTGCTTGCGGGGGTTGAGCAAAGATTACTAACTACTAATTAATTTTTGTTCAAACACACACACCCAGAAGCAGCTCCGTAACAGCTGTCTAACTCCCAGGTACCTATTTACTGCAAGGTAACAGGGGCATTCAGGGTGAAAGAAACTTTGCCCATTTGTTTCCTGCCTGGTCCGGGAATCAAACCCAGGTCACAGAATTACGAGCCCTGCGCTCTGTCCACTCAGCTACCAGACCCCCAGACTGTGACATAGTTTAGTGACGTGACATCTTGCAGGTGGACAGATGTGGTCTCTTAGATATACAAGAGTGATGAAGCCAACAACACGTCATACTAAAGCTTGAGCAATGACATTGCGTAAAAGCTGATCAGAGGCACAATTGCTCTGTTCAAATCAATATATATAAAAGGAAGTCCTAAGTCGTTCTTGTTATAATAGTTTTTTGTATCCATTTAGCAAAGACGTTCACGATAAACTGTCCTTATATAAGGAGTTTAATGGGTCAGGGTCGCAGGGGAATTAGACCATAAGGTAAATATAATTAGGTTACGGGGTCACCAAATTGCAGTATGACCTTTGGGTTTACGAGAACGCCAAGATAGAACAGTCCCCATAAGAATGCAGATGTTAAAATCATATAAGAAAGTGAGGAGGATCCCAATATGCGTACGGAGGCTTAGATATAGTGCAAATTTCCCAGACGGAGCTGAGCATGACGGGTAATCTGCCACGATGTCCAAGATGGCTACGATGTCAACCTCCAAGATTTGTTAACAATACACTCCAATAACTAACATAGATCACAGTTACTTACAACCAACCAAACCCTTCAGTAACCTAGGCGACGTTACATAATCCTTCATGGGAGCAAGAAGGAGTTAATAAAGTCTCGCGGGCGTGAATAAAATGCTAGCAAAATTAGAAGTTTATGTATGTGGCATGTGGTGGGCAGCAGTGCGCATGCGCCCTCCCGCCTGAGGTCATTTCCGGCACACAGCTGAGAGTTGTGTTGACGATGGCTCGGTGATGTTCTCTCTCTGTGTCCACGCCTTCATGCTTTATTGGCACTATTGGCGGGAGTAGATACTTCTTATTACCATACCTTCCCCCCGAAACAAAATTGAAGTGAAGAAGGTAAGAATGTGAGCGAGCGAGAGGGAGAGAGAAGCGTTGGGAAGACTTGAGTGTTGTGTTGGGAGGTCCTGTAGGGAGTGGATGGTGTATGTGTATGTATGTATGTCTACTGTTTGTTGCTGGGGGGTTGTGAGGCTCCCTGCAGCTGGAGTAGTCGTCGTCGTCGTCGAGGCTCGATAATGCATTCGCGGTTTCCCTATACGCATTTGTGATTAAAGGTAATTATACTGCAGGAGAGCGTGTGTGTGTGTGGGGCTCCACTGACAGGTCGACGGGGCTGCAGGAGTCTTATGACATTTGGGAGGCTGTGTCGACCCGTTGGTAGAAAGTTGTCGGCTTGTCAGCCTCCTGAGCCTCGTGAGGGCCGCCAGCATCTGCCCCGCCCTCTGGGGGGGACACTTGCTTCATGCACACACCTTTGTTGTGACGTATTGATCACAAGGGACTTGGCCTGGCCCAATGTGATGTGTGGGTTTGTTTACTACCCCCCAGGCCAGGGTTTGGCTTTCCCCCCAGGCCATAGTTTGCCTCCCCCCCCCAGGCCATAGTTTGCCTCCCTCCCCAAGCCATGGTTTGCCTACTTTCCCTACCTTCCCCCTCAGTCCATGGTTTGTCCCACACCCCAAGTCTATGGTTTGCCTTTGCCCCCCCCCCCAGGCCATGGTTTGCTTACCCCCTCAGGTCATGGTTTGCTTTCACCCCCCCCAGTCCATGGTTTGCCTTCACCCCCCCCCCAGGCCATGGTTTGCCTCCCTTCCCCGCCCAGGCCATGGTTTGCCTCCCTTCCCCGCCCAGGCCATGGTTTGCCTCCCTTCCCCGCCCAGGCCATGGTTTGCCTCCCTTCCCCGCCCAGGCCATGGTTTGCCTCCCTTCCCCGCCCAGGCCATGGTTTGCCTCCCTTCCCCGCCCAGGCCATGGTTTGCCTCCCTTCCCCGCCCAGGCCATGGTTTGCCTCCCTTCCCCGCCCAGGCCATGGTTTGCCTCCCTTCCCCGCCCAGGCCATGGTTTGCCTCCCTTCCCCGCCCAGGCCATGGTTTGCCTCCCTTCCCCGCCCAGGCCATGGTTTGCCTCCCTTCCCCGCCCAGGCCATGGTTTGCCTCCCTTCCCCGCCCAGGCCATGGTTTGCCTCCCTTCCCCGCCCAGGCCATGGTTTGCCTCCCTTCCCCGCCCAGGCCATGGTTTGCCTCCCTTCCCCGCCCAGGCCATGGTTTGCCTCCCTTCCCCGCCCAGGCCATGGTTTGCCTCCCTTCCCCGCCCAGGCCATGGTTTGCCTCCCTTCCCCGCCCAGGCCATGGTTTGCCTCCCTTCCCCGCCCAGGCCATGGTTTGCCTCCCTTACCCGCCCAGGCCATGGTTTGCCTCCCTTACCCGCCCAGGCCATGGTTTGCCTCCCTTACCCGCCCAGGCCATGGTTTGCCTCCCTTACCCGCCCAGGCCATGGTTTGCCTCCCTTACCCGCCCAGGCCATGGTTTGCCTCCCTTACCCGCCCAGGCCATGGTTTGCCTCCCTTACCCGCCCAGGCCATGGTTTGCCTCCCTTCCCCGCCCAGGGCAATTCATCTATTTAATTATGAAAATTTTCTTTGAAAAAAAAAAAATGATTCTGATTAAGTAGTGAATATTTGTCGAGTTCTGGAAAAATAGTTCAAACATTGTAAACTCGGTACATTTCACACTACTGGATTTGTTATGCTTCATGTATTTTTGTTTTAGTTTGTGGATACAGTATTAAATTGTTTAATCTAGTAGTCACTAATTTAATTTTACCTCAGGATGCAACAACCACCGCCAGTTATGAATGGTGGGGGTACAGGACAGTCACAGCAACAAAGGTTTCCCTTAGTGCCCCCACCTAGACCTGGTGGCTTTACAAATCTTCAAGCATCTCCTTCGATGGTTATGAAACCTCCAAGTGCTCATATGGTCCCTCCAGGAGGCTCTCCCAGACTAGATGGTCCTTTAATAAACGGTCCACCAGCAGGGCCACCGAGAGTGCCTCAAGGAGGAAACTATAGACCGACACTCGTGAATGGACAAGTTGCTCCGCCTTCTGGTCCCCCAGTAAGACCTCCTTTAGGGCCACCCCAGAGGTCAGTAATTAACAAGTCTGATACTCCTATTGAGGCACCACCAAGAGGCCCATTGCTCAAGCAACCATCAGGCCCAGCCCCTACTATAAATTCAAGCCCCTTAATAAATGGGCACCAGAGACCATCTGAACCCACCAACCTTCCAGGTAAACGTTTTAGTAAATTGTAGCTAAATATACAGTACTGTATTTTTTCTTAAAGATTTGTTTTGTGTGTAATACAAGATATTGTATGTACAGCTGGGATGGAGTATTTAGCAAACTATTGCCATTTCTTAGGTTTTCAAAACTAATGACATTTAACTTTAATCATTATTCATTAATTTTCTTTGATACAGTATTAAATAAATTCCTGGGAATTATTTGAATATTGTAAGTTAAAGCAGAGATAATAAATTTAACGACTTTGCAGTATATATATTTCTTTAAACTAGTAGAGTTCTTTGAGGTCTTATTTTAGTACTACAGAAGTATAGTGTACTGAAAACAATAAGTAGAATACTGAAGACAGTAAGTCACAATAACCTGGTTGAAAATTACGACTTGATAACTGTCCAAGACACCAAAATGTATTCACTTTATTTTCAGATGGGTTTTGAATTTGAATTTTGAATTTGAATTTTGGGTAGGTTGGGTGTCTTAATACTGTACACTGTACTGTACAGCACACTGAAGGCACTGTAACCTAAGAGGGAATTATGCTTAGAGATTGTGACATGCAGGTTAATATTGCTTCAAGAGAAAACTAGCCCAGACAAACCGTAGGTGCATTCAGATTTACCATTTTAAAGTTCCGAAGTATTTTCCACATGTTGATCATATTTGTCTCAAAAATTGTGTGTCCCATATTGCTGTAATTTATTTATTTTTGGTACACATTGTAATCTACAGTATATTACAGTATTTTTGGTAGATCTTTTCACCATGAAGACTCTTTATTGAGGTTTCAAAGAGAGAACAGGAGGATATTTGTTTCGGAAATAAATTTTAGTCACAAGACACAGTGCAGTTACATGTTGCGAGATATTGTAACTAAATGCGTGGATAGCTTTGGGTAATTATCAATGTGATTTATCAGTGCTGGTATTTAGCTCACCAATATTATGGCCAGTGCCTTAATAGGAATCTAATTTATATTCCTTACCGTTTTTAAGGTACGTATTTTATTCTAAAATATTGTCACTTGTTTAACATTTGATCACCCAACCCCCTGGGGAGGATGGGTGTTCCCCCCCCTATCCATCCCCCCATTACCCATACCCCCCCCCCTGGGTTGGGCAAAGCTTGAATGGTCTCAAACGTACAACTCTGAACTCTGACCCCCCTGAAGGATTTGAACCTGGTCTGCCAGAATACCATGCCTCTGAGAATTCAGTACTATAACCACTTGGCTAGTGATGACCTGTCATATGGACCAAGTTTGAAGCCTTCATGGGTCATAGTTTAGTGATTTATATATATATATATATATATATATATATATATATATATATATATATATATATATATATATATATATATATATATTATACTATACTCGACTCCAGAAGTGACTCGTTCGAGTCACTTCTGGGGTGTGAGTTTTCAGTTGCATATTGTCCTGGGGACCATTCAGGCTTGTTCGCATATATAATATATATATATATATATATATATATATATATATATATATATATATATATATATATATGTCGTACCTAGTAGCCAGAACGCACTTCTGAGCCTACTATGCAAGGCCCGATTTGCCTAATAAGCCAAGTTTTCCTGAATTAATATATTTTCTCTAATTTTTTTCTTATGAAATGATAAAGCTACCCATTTCATTTCATGTGAGGTCAATTTTTTTTTATTGCAGTTAAAATAACTGTAGATATATGACCGAGCCTAACCAACCCTACCTAACCTAACCTATCTTTATAGGTTAGGTTAGGTTAGGTGGCCGAAAAAGTTAGGTTAGGTTAGGTAGGTTAGGTAGTCGAAAAACAATTAATTCATGAAAACTTGGCTTATTAGGCAAATCGGGCCTTGAATAGTAGGCAGAGAAGTGCGTTCTGGCTACTAGGTACGACAAAAAAAAATATATATATATATATATGCGAACAAGCCTGAATGGTCCCCAGGACATATGCAACTGAAAACTCACACCCCAGAAGTGACTCGAACCCATACTCCCAGAAGCAACGCAACTGGTATGTACAAGACGCCTTAATCCACTTGACAAGTGGATTAAGGCGTCTTGTACATACCAGTTGCGTTGCTTCTGGGAGTATGGGTTCGAGTCACTTCTGGGGTGTGAGTTTTCAGTTATTTATATATATATATATATATATATATATATATATATATATATATATATATATATATATATATATATATATATATATATATATATATATATATATATAAAAACCAGATCCACTCAAGTGGTGCCATCTGTGAATCATCATATAAGGAGATTCATAGCCTACGAGAAAATGGGATCAATATCATGTGGTTACATGTCTAGTTGTATAGAGGAGTTGTGTTAATGCCTTTGTTTATCTTCCCTTCTTCAAAGCAAAATACTTTAAAATTAACAATGTATGTTTAAATGATGTAGGTGTGAACAGTGAGGAAAAATATTGTGAAATGAGTTTATATCTTGTACGTAGCCTGAGGGTATTCATGTCAGTGAAAGTTGATGAGGAATTGAGATACCATATATCATGTTTATTTGGGGATTAGTAGGAATTAGGGGCATTGTTATAAGAAATAATTGTAATTTCTTTCCTTTGCTTTTTTGTTTGGTAGCCAGTATATTCTGTATTGCTGCATATATGGTAGAAATTGCTTGGGCATGTCATTGCATTTGTGAATACAGTACTAGTAGATTTGCTGCAATATTGCTAAGGATGGCAGTATTTTATGTAGAGATTACACCATGTTGTGATGAGACTTTGAGTTGACTGTGCTAATACTAGATCTAACAGGTATATGAGACGAGCAGCTTATTAACTTTTAAATTACTACTATCTTTCTCAAATGATTGACCCATGGGGCTTCTTTCATTTGTGAAAGATTTAATGTGCTTAATATACAAAGTTTCTAAATATTCTAGTTTGATGTCGTTCAGTACGACATAGTTCGACCTCTGTAAATCGTTTACCATGTGGGGGGAAATCCTGAAAGCATTGACTACTAAATTCCTGGGCATTATTTAAAAAATTGGCACATTTCAGGTGCATCACCATTAACACTTTCGCGCTATCTGGACGCGCCGGCGCGTCCGGTTTCGTCTAACGTAAACGCATAGTGGACATAAAGTTATGTCTTCTTTTAAAATATTTGTATAAAATTCAATTTTAATCCGATTTCATTGGGGTTTGTTTCAAACGACGCGCCATGAAGTTCTCTTTCTCACCACTAGGCCGCCTGGCGCGTCGGCCTACCCGGTCACGTGACGGGCCCATTGTTTTCGTGTCACGTGTCGTGAGTCGATCACGCTCCCTTCGCGCGCCAAACTCGAGCATTTTTACCCGTTTCCGTGTGGATTATACCCAATTACTTCATCAAAAATGGATCAAGGTCAAGGCCCAAGCACTTCTACGCCCAAGGAAGCCTCCAGGTCATCGAGAGTGGACAAAATAACCCAAATTTTTAAGAAGTGGAGCGGAGTGAAGCTCACACCAACAAAAATTCCAGGCCTTGTGGAGGATTTATCAGAAGCTGAAGGTGATGTAGAGGTATTGGAGGAAGATTTTGGAACCCACAACGATTATAGTGTACCTAGAGCTAGAGGGAATGATACGGCAACGAGTGATGAGGAGACTGAGGCCCTCACCGAGGAAGAGGAGGCACCGCGACCCCCTCCTCCTCCATCTCGGCGCACACGTGCATCTAGGCTACCTAGAAAAGTAGCTACCAGACATGTTACTCGTCGTAGGAACACACGACAAATTGCGCCAAGTGATTCTGAAAGTATAAGTGATGAGGATTCATTCGAGCCTGCTGAAAGGCATACACGTACAGTACGTACTCGGCAGGCTGGGGCTGGTGAGGGCTGGAGTCGTAGCAATACTTCTCCAGTTGTTGATGATTTTACTGGAAATCCTGGACTGAAAATTCCCAAGCCTACTAGTGCACTGGCTTATATTCAATTGTTCATCACGCGTGCCCTCCTTGAGTTCTTTACCGTTGAAACAAATTTGTACGCTTCGCAGTTATTCCGGATGGCCAATGAAAATGTATCAGATATTTGGACCCCCAGTGAAGGTGAGTGAAATGTCGCGATTCCTAGGACTGTTCATATTGATGGGCATAATTAGGCTCCCAACTATGAGGATGTATTGGCAAACAGCAAAGCCATGGCATGCTCGTTTCTTCAGCTTGTTCATGCCGTCCAGACGATTCCAGCATATAAACCAGTTTTTCCACACATTCAATACCAATGCAGTGCCCGTGAACAATCGTGATAAGTTGATAAAAGTGAGACCAGTGATGGATTACTTGAAAGAGAGGTTTGCTCAAGTTTACATCCCCAAGAAAGAGTTGTGTTTGGATGAGGGTACAATGGCATGGCAAGGCCGACTATCCTTCAAAGTGTACAATCCAAACAAACCAGACAAGTATGGTGTGAAACTTTATATGCTTGCTGAATCTGTCTCTGGGTACATATATGACTTTGACGTATACTCAGGTATTGGTAAGACGATAGTGGATACAGTAACGGGGTTGATGCAGCCTTTAGTGAACCAGGGTTACCATTTGTACATGGATAATTACTACAACTCGGTTACCCTGACAGAAACATTGAGAGAACTTGGGGTGTACACATGTGGCACAATTTGAATGCTACGTGGCGCCCCAAAGGTATTGCAAGCTCTAGCCAAGGGTAAACTTCCACTGGATACCACAGTATACCGCCGCAAAGATAATACCTTCATTCTCCTGTGGAAAGACAAGCGAGTGGTTTCAATCATTACCAACATCCACAATGCAGACACTCAGCGAGTTCAGCGAAGGAAGCGAATTCGCAACCGAGACGGAACAAGTGGAATACAACAGGTAACAGTGAACAAACCGACTGCAATTTGCGAGTATAATAAGTTCATGAAAGGTGTGGACCACTTCGATCAAATTGTTAAATATTACCATTTTACCAGGAAAACTCACAAGTGGACCAAAAAGATTACCTTTTATTTCCTGCAAATGGCATTGCATAATGCCTATGTTTTGTACAAATACAACACAACTGATCGAAAAAAGCTAACATTGCTACAGTTCCACGAAGTGGCAATCTGGGCCCTATTGCACTGGGACACAGAGGAGTGGCCTAAAACATCATCATCATCTCAACACTTGCGGCACGCTCCAGACATAAATGATGACACAGCTCCTGCCAATGCTGACGCCATGCCAACTCCCGGACCATCTGGTGTGAGGCGGCCTTTGTTCACTACACCACCTCAAGATGAAGCAGACAACGAATCTGATCCCGACATGTCTGCCACACTGCCAGTTGACGAAACTGTTTTGTCAGATGAATCTGACTCTCCTGCAACTCCTGTTACACCTCCAGCGAGAGGACCTGGCCGCCCTATTGTTGATTCAGAAAATCGCATGAACTACAAACTGAAACATGAAATTTACAGACTGCCCAAACGTCTCAAGTGTCATGCATACGCACGGTCCGGTAAAAGGAAGGACACGAACTATGGATGCAAGACCTGTGGTGTTGCACTCTGTGTTGTTCCCTGCTACACCAATTACCACCGGAAACAGGTGTATTGGGTGGTGAAGAAGTAACCACCCGCAACAGCTTCACTCCACCTACAAACCATCTGTTGAGCAACTTCAGGAATGAAGAACCTGAAGAAGGTGGAGTGAAGAACAAATGCTCAACTTACTGTTCCACAACCAGCCTTCCCTTGGTAAGTACACCTATTTGGTCCAAGTTTGTGTAGTATAATTTAGCTCATATAGAACATTCTATTGCGAAAACATTGCCACAAAAATGAATGACATACATACAATAATAATATCAGAACAGTGAAATAAGTATAAACTTTCAAAGCAACGTTTCGCGCGCGTGTCGTCCGGTCACCGTTACCGGGTAACAGTGCGCCCACTTCCCACACTCTTGCGGGTGGGCTGGGACCATTATTCTACGATTATATTCATATCACCGTGTTGGGAATTTTATTGAGAGTCCATTGATACCAAAATTAAGGCTGTAGGACAATTGTAGAGGTGATGATAATCCCAAGAGTAAAAACATTTTTTTGCTGTTGAGCACTCACGGCGACTCATCTTCGTAGTTATTTATTTCATGCTGGTATCTCTATAGCTTTCGTGACTTTTTTTACTGATGTTCTTCTAGAGAATTTTATTGCGAACACGTTGGTACCAAAATGAAATACATAGCATGAAAACTAAGGTCAGAAAAGTAAAAAGAGTATACACATTTTTGTTTTTACGCTTAAGCGATAAAAACGCCGCGCACACATATGGTTGGCTGAGTGACCTTCGCCGAGAGCGCGAAAGTGTTAATTTACTACTGACTTAGCATGTTAACATTGATGCTATGCAATATTTCAAGGACTTGTATGGACAAGGAAGATATTTGTGATGAGAAATCTATTACAAATAGCATACTTGACAATAAATTTTCAGAGCATGACGACATCAACCTTTCTTCACCTCACCAGTCAAACTAAAATGCAGTAATTAGTATTATATTTATTTTCTCTGCATCAAAAATAAATTTTACAATATACAAAGGTGAGAAAATCTTGTAATTCTTTTTTGCATGCACCCGGCAAGTCCTAAAAAATAGTGCACAGTTTGAGGGGTTGAAGAGGAATCCAAGGAAATGTTTGCTTTGCATTTCAGTTTCCAAACTGTTGTTCAATAGATGCAAAATATGAATAATATTTTATACTGTACTTTGGTATATGCCTCGCATTTCCCCAGGTCCAGCCTACATAACCTTTCTTTTGTGCCCCCTCACTCATTATAAGTGGACCATGTATGGCAGTAGTTAAGTGCTTAACCGTTTGCTTTCTTTCCTACATTGTCTTAGTATGAAGTATCATCACCTCATGGGTTTACCACTAACCCCCCAAAGTGTGACCATTAAAATTGCTACCCTGACAGTGACAAAAGATTAATTAATCTTTTTTCTTTACCTGTTTGGCATTCCTTCTGCCATTTGTCATCAATGTTGTGATAAGAGCCAGAACCAAGCAAAAACTTTTTTTGTATTACCATTTTATAAAAGTAATGATTCTAATGCAGATTTTGGAAGATCTTTGTTGGTCATAATTTGAGGGACCAGGAAGGGGAAGGGCACTATTGAAAGAAGGCGTCAAGCCATTATGACTATATAGCACTTGGAAGGGTTCAAGATAAGGATTTGGGATGGGATGGGGGAAGGCCTAGTGGTTGGGCTCAAGGATAGTGGGGACCAGGAGCTGAAGTTCATTTCACCAAATTTCTTTTTGCCTCCCATGACTGCTAGGAGACAACATGAAGCTATTTAACACTTTTGCTGGCCCGGTGGGCGACCCGCTGCACACCGCAAGGTCGGCCAAGCATTGCCCTTGAGTATACAACCTCACTGTTTCTTTTTCAGCCTTCTCACCTCAATTTTTGTGCTACATCGTTCAATTTAGTATCAAATGGTTTGCAATAGAATGCTGTAAAAAAATATTTGCATACAGTATAAGAACATGTCTTGCTTTTCTATATTTTCGACGAACACGCTACATATCTTTTCCCTCGTACGTGATTCTTTCGATGCTTTCGTCATGAATTGGCACTGTTCTTGATCAGTATCCATCTGGAAGTCAGTTTACAGTGTTTATATAGCCGGTAACACCAAATACCCGAGATATAATGACCAGAAAAGGGAACTTTTTGACTCTAGGAAAGGCCATGGCTGTCACGAGCGAGGTCACGAGAACAGTGAACCTCCAGTGTGAGCAAGCGCCCACACTTTGGGTCAGGATGCCATGTGGGAAATACATAGAATTGGAAGAGGTTGGCGTGCATTTTAAAAATAAGTCCCATAGTATTTGGACAATAAATAGAATTTTAACATTTTTAAATTAATGACTCCATTTTCGTCATCATGCACTGAGTATTTTGGTTTTATGATGAAATATGCGTGATCAGGCAGTGAAAGTGTTAAGCTATATGGGCAGCATTATTATTCCAACATTGATGCAAAACAGTTTGCATCAAACAGACATACAAAGCAGCATGTCTCAGTTTATTTGATAATGACTGCATTGTACCAGACGATCAACAAATGGTGATAACCACATTGAGGGGTTAATAATACTGCACCAACTATGTACGTGTTTAATGCCCTCTAGATATCCTTACTAAATATACACTTTAAAACCTGTATTACATACTTTCTTTACTATAGTGACCTATCCAAATGTCATATCCGATTCATGCAGTGTAATCAATCTTGGTTATCACTAAATTGTTAACTGCTTTACTTCTAATGACTATATTGCCATACACTTTGCCCGTAAACTTGGTAGTGTTGATCAATGCTAGTTGATCTAGTTCTCTCTGTGCTTACATTTATTGTGTACTGTATATAAAAATGCCATCTCAACTTTTACAATCTCGCAAGCATGCCTCTTTAAGCATGGATCTTATCTACCTCTGCTCTTCTTTGTTGTATTTTGTTTGTGCTTGTATGACTCCTAACATGTTTATGATGTTCATCCATTACATAACTGGTTGGATGTGTCTTCCTGTCTACAGAGCCGCTATCTAACCGATCGTCCAATCGGTCTTCTCGCCAGCCTTCCCCGATTCCTACTCCTCAGCTTGAACGCATGGAGACGCAGGCCACGCCAGTCTCGGGCCTGAGTAAGTGGTTGCTTATACTGGTCTCAACTCTTTACATGGAATATTTTTTATTTTTTATTCATCATTTGTCTTTGTTCGTTTTTCTTCCTGCTATTTGTGATTATTCATATGAGCTGGTTATTCCCAAGTTTATTGCTCTTTAGGCAAAACATTAAAAAATATCAAACAAATAATTTACCATGTTTATTAGAGAAGGATTTCAGATTTCTTGCTAACCCCGTCTTTTGTGGGTGTGTACATATTGGTCTAGCAATAAGCGCTCCAATATAGGTTATAGCCAAGAGTTTTCATTTATTAGCTTGTTAAATGGTTGTTGCTAAACCTATGGATACGCAGGAAAGCTCGATCATCATTGCAATCCAACCCTTTGTCACATACAGTATTACCCAAGCCATTTGCCACATTGGTGTCTGGGTAACTAATTTTTTCTCTAAAGAATAGTCCCCAGTGTACTCACTGCCTCTATATCTCCAGATTGGCTGAAAGCTGTTGTAAATTTATCTCATATAATAATTCCTTTAGCTTGCTTAATAATTCTTTGGTCTGGGTTAGTAGAGTTCATATCAATAGGTAGAATAATATGCTTGGGGAAACTGATTATGTAATTCATCAATGTATTAAACTAGAAATTCTTTGTTTAGCAAAGAAAAAGACTTCACACATGTGATAATAGCACAGAGCATGTTTCATACCATGAAGATGTAAAAATAATGAGCAAGACTGTTCTTGTGTTTGAACAGCAACAAGTCTGTGATGCAGGGCAATTGCATCACTGCAGCAGTTACCTCCTTACTGACATCATTATGCTTCAGTCGTCAACACAAGTCTTGAATGAGTCTAGAATGAGTCTCGTTTACTTCACAAATCTTGTTTGCTCAGACACACCTGCTGGCTTATTTTCATTGATCAGTCTGTCTTAACGTATCCCTGATTGCTTAATTTTAAAGCATAGAACTTATGATGTACTAGTATTATGGGCTTGAATGGACAGCCTGCTCTCTTGATTTGCCACATCATACGTATATACCGTATCTTTCAGTATGAAATTTGACATTTATATATTTAAAGTTATTTAAAAAGAGATGACAGTTTAACTAAGATTGTATATATTCTTACACTGTGTGTACAAGTTAAGGACATAATTATGTAGAACCAGGAGTCTGCTGCAAATCCAGGGAGGAGAAGGAAGACAGTCATAAGCATGCCTGCGCCACGCAAACACATTACCCTCGGCTACTCTCAACACCCAATTGTATCCTGTCACTTAGCTACTGACCTGGGATGCTGTACACTTTTTCTTTTTCTAAACTGCATGAAAGACTTTGCACAAGTGACTTAAGGATCAAAACTTTTGTTAAACTCACTTGGGAAACTGGCATTCAAAAAGCAGGTGAAAGATTACAGTATTTGCAAAGTTTTCACTATTTGCTGATTGGTCAGCATTAGCTCCTTTCTTGGAATATTCTGTAGGCAATATCCAGAAGAAAGCAGAGCAAGAGGAATATCAACCATTTGGTACACCATAATTGAACATGGTATTTGCTCCATAATTGATGAGGTAAAGATCAGTTCTTAGGCTAGCAATGATTATTAGCCTGCAGGAAATACTTGGTAAGACTGCTTTGAAGTTTAGCTTATGAAATTGTTTGTTAATGCTACACATTACATGTTATTTTCTAATGACTATTGCATACATTGATTTGTATGTCTTATTCACATGAATATTGTTAGTTTGAAAATATTAATATTTAAATAAATTATTGCAGCTCCAAGTGGATCCTCAACAAATTTGAATGAAGGCCATCATCCACCTGCATCACAATCCCAGCCAAGCTCTTCCCTAATTGACGGACCTGCAAAGAGTTCACCTAGGATGTCCCCAATCACAACAAGAACACACTTTGATGGACATTCTTTACCAGTTAATTGCATCCCAGCCAGTGTGCCTGTGTCTAGTGAATCATCTGTTAGTGGAACACAAGGTAGTAATAAACCTTTAAACAGAACTGTCAATCCACAATTCACAAGTGGTGCTCAAATAAGTAATCAGCCACAGGTGCACTATAGTGGGCCAGTATCATCTCGTAGTAATCTATCTAGCAGTACTGTTCAGCCACCAGTTAGTGGCCACTTTTCAATGGTATCTAATAATGTACCATCTTTTGCAAGACCTGTCAGAGACTCACTCAGTGGTAATCAGTTAGGTGGATCCTCTGGCTCTGTTTCTGGAACTAATACAAACACGAGACCACATACCAGTGAATCACAGGCCGTTGTTACTTCAGTGAGTGGTGGAACACATCAGTTAATTGCAAAGAGTCACATGGGCCCTCCAGCAGCTTCCAAAGCTTTTCCAGCTGTCTCTTCAGTTCCTCCAACTGCAGCTTCTTCAGTTCTAGCTTTACCCACCTCCCCACATACTACTGCTCTTTCTGCTGCTCTTCCATCACCATCATTGGGACCTAGACCATCAGTGGGGCCTTCATCATTATTAAATAATCTTCGGCCTTCAGTTGGTTCTCAACAAGCTGCATTGGGCTCTCAACCCATGTCAGTGGGTTCTTATCCATCATCATTTGGCCCTCCACCGACATCCATCGGCCCTCCGACATCCATCGGCCCTCCGACATCCATCGGCCCTCCGACATCCGTGGGGCCTCCGACATCCGTGGGGCCCCCACCATCTTCAGCAGGACACACACAAATGTTGATAGGCCACCAACCAGCATTGATGGGACATTCACCAATGTCGGCGGGCTATAAGCCAACATCTGTAGCTCCCCCGCCTATGTCTATGGGTCCACCACCAGCGTCTATGGCTCCCCGACCACCATCAATGGGTGTTCCACCCATGTCGATGGGTCCCCCACCTACAACAATGGTTCCCCCACCTACGTCGATGGGTCTCCCACCTACATCAATGGGTCTCCCACCTACATCGATGGGTCTCCCACCTACGTCGATGGGTCCCCAGCCTACATCGATGGGTCTCCCACCTACGTCGATGGGTCCCCAGCCTACGTCAATTGGTCCCCCACCTACATCAATGGGTCTCCCACCTACATCGATGGGTTATAGACCACCTATGATACCACCACCACTTGGAAATGCTGCAGGGTCAGCTCATTATGGATCAGTGTCACAGTATCCAGGTCAGCAGCAACATCAGCCACTGCAGCAGCCACCGCAGCAGCCACCACAGCAGCAGCAGCAGCAGCAACAGCAGTTTCAACCACAGTTTAGACCAGGGGGACCACCTGATGTTAGTCAGCTGTCACAGCAGTTGGGTGGTTTGTCTGTGACACGTGACGGATGGAATAAAGGCTGGGGAACACATCAAATGGACCTGTTACAGCAGCGTCAAGTGCTACCACCCGAGGGAGTTGTGCCTCCAAAACCGGTGCTGGCTCAAGAATATCTCCCAAACTGCTTCCCTGATATATTCAGATGCACTCTGACAAAAATTCCCGAAACAAAGTCAGTTTTGCAGAAGGCCAGGCTTCCGTTTGGCATGCTTATACATCCATTCAAGGATCTTGAGGTAAGTTTGTTTCTTATGGATTCTGCCTTTGGTATATTAGCTGTTCATTGAAATTATTGTAGTTGTGCACACAGTAAACCCTCTCTTTGTAGGTTTATTATTAGCAAATTAATATTTGGGGGGGGTGTCTCTCCTTTTACAAGTAAGGGGTTGTTTGCAGATTCAAGAGTTGACAGTTACTTTATCAATATTAAGTGTCTCCTAACTCTTGTTCCAAAGTTACTTTACATGGTTTATTTGTAATGTTGTATACTGTATTGGTGAATGTATAAAGAAATGTTACAGTATTTGTAAAAAAAATACAGTAGACCTTCACTGTCCACAAGGAATGTATTATGTTATTTCCCAGTTGCAAATATTGTGTTGTATATAGTAGATTTATACACTAGACAGTGATGTAAATGAGTAGTAAAAAAAAAGTATGTTAAACACGAAAACTGCAACAAACTTGTGAATACCAAAATTAACCTCATATTTTGTGAGTATTGTTAAATAATGCCTAAGCTGTGGATTGGTATTTTTTCAAATACCAGTAGTAAGGGTAAGAAGCATCTATTACAAATTTGATAAAGCCAAAATATATGTAAAGTATATGCTTCACGTGATTATAAGAGGGGGCGGTGTCATGTGCAGTGATTTTACTGCACAGTACTTGCCCTTACCCTGTAGCGTATGCCAATTGGATTTGTCCATCTCTTGACTTGTATTTTACGTAATGCAGGTGACCACCAAGCATCATTGGTGAGGTTTTCTTTATATAGTATATAGTGTAGATAATATAAAAGTGTGCATTATATTTCTGGGTTAGAAGAGGTAGCATTATTTAGTAATACAGTAATACTTAGATAGGTCTTTCATTGAAGTAGTAAAGTTTTTTTGTTTTTTTTTATTCTCGGGCAGGACAGAAATAGTTGGGCATAGTTCCTTTCACCTGGTGCCTCTGTTCACCTAGCAGTAAATAAGTACCTGTGATTTAGGAAACTGTTGTAGGTTTATATTTAATTTTATATAACTGAAAGCTAGTCTGGAGCAGTATGGGGATAATATTGGGGTGAGGAGGCCTCTGGTTATGACATGAGTACATTGGCCAAACATTGTTAGTAATTGTCTGAACATGAAGACTAAATATGCACATAGTCTATGGCCTGACTTCGCCATGTACGTATTGTAACTGTTTAGCATTGTTACGTCAATAAAGTGGAAGAACACCTTCTTGGTCCACCTGACAGTTTTATACACAACAGCACCAACCATTGTGTCACACTACCAAGTGCATATGTGTTATTGTCCCTGACAATCTGGTTTATATACTTGTTCTTTTGGTGGCTTTGCTGACTTTTTTATTATTTTTTTTTAAGGCGGTCTCATAGTTGGGTGGATAGACTTTTTTGGATTGGTGGTTCGAGTCTTAGTGCCCAGGTGAATGATATATTTATTTCCACGGTAGTGTGGTTGACAATTATATACTGTATATATATGAAGAAATGTCACAAGTACCACAGGGTTCAGTTCTTGCTCCGGTAATGTTCGTTGTCTACATAAACGATCAACCAGATGGAATACAGAACTATATGAACATGTTTGCTGATGATGCTAAGATAATAGGGAAGATAAGAAACTTAGATGATTGTCATGCCCTTCAAGAAGACCTGGACAAAATAAGTTTATGGAGCACCACTTGGCAAATAGAATTTAATGCGAATAAATGCCATGTTATGGAATGTGGAATAGGAAAACATAGACCACACACAACCTCTAAATTATGTGAGAAATCTTTAAAGAATTCTAATAGAGATTTAGGGGTGGTTCTAGATAGAAAATTATCACCTGAGGACCACATAAACAACATTGCGCGATGAATCTATGCTTCACATTCTAACTTCAGAATTGCTCTTAAATACCAGTACCGTACATGGATGGAGAAATACTAACGATATTGTTCATGACTTTTGTAAGACCAAAGCTGGAATAAGCAGTGGTTGTACAGTGCACATATCTTAAAAAGCACATCAACAAACTGGAAAAGGTGCAAAGACATGCAACTAAATGACTCCCATAACTAAAGGACAAGAGCTACGAGAAGAGGTTAGAGGCATTAAATATGCCAAAACTAGAAGATAAGAGAGTCAAATGATCACTACGTACAAAATAGTAATGGGAATCAATAAAATTAATAGGGAAGAATTCCTGAGACCTGGAACTTCAAGAAAGAGGTCCTTTAAACTAACTATACAAAGCTGCCGAAGAAATATAAGAAAATTCACTTTCGCAAATATAGTGGTAGACGGAACAAGTTTGGTGAGGTGGTGGTGGAGGCCAAAACCATCAGTACTGTAATTTCAAAACGTTATGAATGCTGGGAAGATGGGACACCACGAGCGTAGCTCTCGTTCTTTAACTACACTTAGGGTTGGTTACAATCACTGTTACAATTACAATCACATGGAACAAAGAATGAGTCCAAATCTCTGGTGTTTGAAGGGGGGGGATATACTGCTTTAAAGCAAGACATCCTTTCAAAAGCACAAGCAATTTGCTAATCACCAGCTTCTGACCTGTTACATAGAAATCATTGTATTTCCCTTTCAGTGTACTGAGAATGTACCTTCTGTCTCTCATCTGCATTTTGGTTTTCACTACCATTTTCAAAATTAATGCACCTGAGGAGCAAGAGATACCTGTTGTGAGATGTGTATATTCCAAAAATAAGTGATGGGAGAGAACAGTCTTCCAATAATCGTGGATGATGTGTTTCACTGAATGTTTCGTCATCAGAGTGCAAGAAACGTAAAGTTCAGCCATAGGGGTGTCCTTCCAATGCTGTAATCATTTACCTGAATTTACCCAAGGGCTACTAATACTAGTGGCCCCAACGAGGACAGGAAGCTAGCGGCTTATCAGAGGTCTCCCCATTAGCCCTGATGATCTTTTCTAGCCGTTTTAAAATCTAGCAGCGATTTGGCGTTAACGGCTTAAACGGGAAAGCAGTTCCACAGATTTACAATCCTATGGGTGAAAAAGCATCTCCTGTATTCTGTCCTACATTTTGGCTTGAGCTTGAACCCGTTGCTCTTCGTTCGTGTTACATCTGACCTTTTGAGGAAGCTGTCCGTATCGACATTGTCCAAATTATAATGAATGTGATATTCCCTCGGTTCCTATTAGTTTACTAGAGTACGTTTCCTGAGCAATGGCTCCATGAGTAGCTCATAGAAGTATACTATAAAATACTTCATTTCACTTATGTCATCACCAGCATATGGGTAAAATGTCTGTAACCCCAACATCTGTATCTTCAAATGTAGGGATTTGTGAAATAGTGTGCTATCTCCCGACACGAGTACATCTACTGCTCTGGTGGAGGTACCACCAACACAATGTTGGCTAGGAGATGAAGACCATCTACTCCACGCACATTGAGTATGAACAGATAAATATGAGGGCATTCGTGTGAATGTATCCTTCTCACCTAGTGCTGGATGGTTGGGCGAGCAGCCGAGTGGCAGAACTGTGCCTGGTAACACCATGTACACTACTACCACTAGCTATAGCACTGCTCGAACTACAATGAGTCCTGGTCACTAAATCTTGAACATAAGTCATCTTCCATGGCCTAGGTGGGTTTGTGCATGTTACACAGACCCACTTTGCCCCTCTCTTGAAGTGGGAGTGGTGGTGTGGAGTGAGGCCTCGTTCGGAGTGGTGATGGTATAGGCCTCGGATTCAGGGCAGATGTGTATCTACATCATTGTCTGAATCATTTCCATCAGAGCCTTAATTTCTATCTAATGCATAATCTCTATCCTTATCTCAATCATTACATCACTGTCCTTGTCTGTTTACATCAGTTTCTTCTGAATATTTTTTCCATAAGTGAAACTGGAGCGAGCCACAGCATGGCATTAGGCAGAGGGCGATTATTAGTCATGGTAGCTTGATACAAACTGAGGCCTTCTCACCAATGTTACCCACATGGAATTTATTTTTCAAGATGGTGGTTGTATACTATCACCCCAGAAGCCATGGCAGGATGTGCAAAATAGCCCTACTGAAAAGAATAGGTGCAATATTCACGTTGACAGAGAACTCGATCAACATCAGAGGCCCAAGATGTTTCAACGCACTGTCCCTACATATACAGATCATAACTGGCCGACCTCTGTGTTCAAAAGAGAACTCGTCAAGCACATTCAAAGGATACTCGATCAATCAGGCTGTGACTTGTAAGTCGGGTTGTGAGAAGCCGCATTGAATGGCTTGGTTTATCAGACCAGCCACCAGGAAGCCTGGTCAGAGACCGCGCCGCGGGAAGTTGATCCTCGGAATCAACAGGTAGTAGGTAGTCAATCCCCATTTAGACTACTATATTTAAGCACGGAGCAAGCATCTTCAGGAGGATATACTGTATCTGCATTGGAGAAAGCACAATTCAGATTGACAATAATTTCTGATCTAAGTACTGTACTGTATATCTAAGTAGAATAATTTCTCATACCAGGAAAGATTTAGGGCCACAGGGCTAAAAGCACTTCAAACCAGACGTGACAGGGCTGATCTCATCAAAACCTTTAAAATGCTGAACAATTTGGAATACTGTGTATTAATCCAGACCATTTTTTTTACAAGGTCAAATGAAACAAATGTACACGAGGCAACAGCTTTCAGGCTGAACAGACTACAATGCATGACAGAAAACAGGTGATTTTTTCACTCATAAGGTTATAATCCCATGGAATTGCCTTCCTGCCGAAGTCGTAAATGCTAGGACAGTAGAGCCGTTAAAAATACAGTTGGAAACGAAATCTGCTTCTCAAATAATACATTGCATTAGACATTAAAATCCCCAATGGATAAAATATGATATATAAATCATAGCAGCTTGCAAGCATTCATGTTTTCTATACATGGGTCCATCAGTTAGGTTAGGTTCAGGCAATTTAATAAATAATTTTCTGTTCATTGTGACAGCTAGAGAGGCTGAATAAGCACGGCAGCTTCCTGTTCCTGTTAAGGCCACATGTTGATGGCGGTCCTCTGGTAAATTCAAGTAAATGTGCAATATGGACATATTGATGTACGTATTACATTTTTAGGCTGATATACCATACTCAATTGCTGTTTTTGCCAATTACAGTATGTGTAGATAAATGGTTATTCAACCGCATCATCAGAATATGAAAGCTTTATGTGCTTTAGACATTTTATCGAAATGGATCATCTAGCTTTACTTATTTCTGAATTTATTTATTTATTTTAATAATTTTATATTATTTCATTGTTTGTAAATAAATGAAATGAATCCTGCCCGAAACGCTTTGCGTAATAGTGGCTTTAGGCATTGTATGTACTAGCTCCTATCTATAAAGCCAACAAACTTTGTAAAATCTCTTTATGTATGTACCTTTGCCTAAATAAAAATTATTATTATTATTATTATTATAATTGGCAGATTTGTCGATCAATTTGCCGGGAAAGATTAACTAATTGAGGTAAAGATGTACTGAATGACAAGCATTGATTCTGACTTGTTTACTTGCAACTTCTTGGAGGACTAGTACTGTACTACCAAACTTCACCTAAATATTTCAGTTCATGTCAAAAACAAAATTGCCACCCATAGCATTCTGATAGTGCTATGGACTACAGTATATGAAAATTGTGTGCTGTTCACAGGCACTCCACATTCTTGCCATATTTGGCACTTTTTGTTTTGTTCTCCTCGTACCCTCCAACTAATGCACTTTCCTCGCCTACATATTTTGCCATTTGTTCTTGAAATCTAACTGAAATGTTTATGCACTCTACCATGTTTCAGGGGTTGAGGGCCAACAGTTATTTAGGTAAGTGTCATGCTAATATTCCTTTAACTTATATTTTTGTACTCCAAATTGCATTAAACCATAATCTAGCAAGTTGAAACTAAATCAAGTGCTGGGGAGTGCTGAACGAAGTAATTCTTAACAATAAAATTACCTAGTCATGTGATGCTAGACTGCAAGCCCATATAGCTATAATTAAGAAAACAAAAATGTAGGCAGTGGAGGCATTGCAATCGGAATAATAAAGCAAGAGGCAGAGATTATTCCTCTCTCCATATGATTTGTTTCTGTGGCTGCTGTCCACAGTGCAACTTAGTGTACTCCCTTTTCTACACTGCCACATCACTCTTTCAGTAGACAATTTTAATATTTTTGTTCCCTGTTGCCTTCTCTCCTTGGAATGCCATCTTTGTGGCAGCAACTATTGTGCACTGATGACCTAGAGAAAGTGTTGAATTTGGCTTGTGAAGTCTTCCCCCCCATCTCATCTGGCCCAAAAATAGCCCAAGTTCTCAGTCGTCTAGGAATATTGTGGTCATACTGTGCTTGAGGTTTTGTAAACCCTAGCTCAAAGGCTAGTCTTAGATGAATGTTGCATTTACACAGCACCAGTGACCTTGTTGCAACACCCGAAATTTATTATTAGATAATCGATCATACTTTACTATTCCATTTCTTTATTACTTCCTTTTGCCTTCTTCATAGTTTGTGTTTTTGTTGAAGGGTAACTTCACTCTTTTCAGCCTTGCTTCCTTGTAATTGCCCAAGTGTAGTTACAAGATGAGAGCTATGCTTGTGGTGGTCCATCCAGCACTCTTTCATATAAAGCTTTGAAACTACTGATGGTTTTGGCCTCCCACCACCGCCTCACTTAACTACTACTAACCGTCTACCACTGTTTGCACAAGTGAATTTTCTTGTATTTCTTTGGCAGCTATGCTTAGTTAAAATCTGACTTTTGTTCGTGAAGTTCCAGGTTTCAGGAATTCTTCCCTATCAATTTTATCAATTCCTGTTACTATTTTGTACTTAGTGATCATATTGCCTCATTTTTCTTGTCTTCTGTTTTGGCATATTTAATGCCTCAAACCTCTCCTCGTAGCTCGTCTTTCAGTTTTGGGAGCCATTTAGTTGCATGTCTTTGCACCTTTTCAAGTTTGTTGATGTGCTTCTTAAGATATGGGCACCATACAACTGCTGCATACTCCAGTTTTGGTCTAACAAAGGCAAGTGTAGTGTAGGCAAGTGGTGACTGCTTCGCTAGTGCAGTAGCCAGACTAACATGTAATGTTCTTAAAGCAAATGCTTCTCTGTTTAATAAAATGGATGGAAAGTATAATGGTTGCACAACTTGCCCTTGGTCATTAAGATTGGAAATTGATATACAGTAATTCAGTAACTGATTTTAATATTATTCCTCAATACAGATCCATATGAAGTGCTGTAGTTACAAAACTATTTAACAATTATTTCATTCATCTTGAGCACTAGAGGCCTCGAACAATTTGCCTCTGGTTGTTTAGCAACCAACCAGAGGTGGGTATGGGCATTCTGATACTTTCCCCAGAGTCATACAATGAAGCAAATAGTGGTCTTAATCCTTTTCTTTGGCACTTCTGTTTTGGCCCCATACTTTCCTTCCCTATATGGGAGCTAAATTGATATATTTAAAATTGTTTTCCTTTAAATTAAGAAATTTATCTACTCTTTCTAGTGGTATCATGAGAAATAATAATTTTATGGTGGAAAAACAAAATGGAAGTAATTGGGGTGTCTTTATAATTAATATACAAGTTACATTGGGTTTGTGAGAGTACATAACATTGGTGCTTTTACATTCTTGCATAGCCACTCTCACACCCAGCTTTTTTTGGTAGAAAATAATAATAGGAAATATTGTCTAAGGAACTTAATACCAGTTAACAAGTGTTCCCAAGATATCATTATAAAATAATCAATAATAATTAAACAATTATTTGCCTAAAGGATTGTTTTGTCCCTTTTAATTCATTTCTATGAAAAAAAAGGGTGTGTTCTTCCCGTGCATATCATGAAATCAAATTTAAAATATTTTGGATGGTACAAAAAAAACTACAAAACTTTTATTTTTGAACCTCCCATGTTTTACTGTAAACTATTTTCAAAGTTATTTAGTGCCAGGCTATTCCTGAATTTTTTTTTATTGTTCGTATTTTACCTCTTGTAGTCGAGCTGTAGTAGCCCAGTAAAGTTGTATTTTTTAGCAGAAATGAGGCAAATTGCGGCATGGGAATAACTTTTGATTTATTGAAATTTTCTCACTTTATTTAGTTTTTTGTTCAAGTTATATTGATGTGTCAAAGGTGGTCTTCATTATGTTGAAGTTCGAAAATACAGTATACGTATTTACAGATACAGTATACCGTATATGTATAATATATGTACACCATGTATTTATTTTTACTAATACAGTATGCATATATAAACATGAATCTTATAATTGCACATAGCACACATTTTTGCCTGTAAACATACATGGTAATCGCTTGTTTGCTGCTGCTAAAAGTTCAATGGCTCTATACGTTCACACACTGAAGGGTGATGTTGCCAGATGTGGCCTTTTTTTTTTTTTTTACTAAGGCAAGTAAAAAGTAAGAGAGAGAGGAGAGGGAGGGAAAGAGAGAGTGAGGAACTTGAAATATGTTTTCAAGATTGGGAAATGGTTACTGGAGGCCTGAGGAAGCAATTGTGAGCCTCTAGTATGCATGGGAGTTTCAAATTTTGATATAACCACGATCACCTTGTGGTGCTATGCACACCACGAGTTGAGTGCCTTAATGCACTATGCAGTAGTTATGAAGCAATTTTGAATTTAAACAAATATTCTGCAAATGGTGGTGGTAATACAGTACGAGTTTCCATGGTTTTGCTGGGAATGATAAAATACTGAGTGTACTGAATTATCATTAATGCTAACACTGGTCTAATCTCTCTCAATTTTTTCCTGTACTCTAATCACTATCGGGGGTTTCCTCTTATGCAGGAAATGAGCAACGGTCTCATTTCGTGCAGGTTGGCATTCAATTTCTGACTGTCCAAGTAGTTTGGAACCATTCCTTACCCCGTCCCATCCCTAATCCTTATCTTGATTCCTTCCGAGTGCTATATAGTTGTAATGGCTTGACACCTTCCCCTGATAGTTTCCTTCCCTTCCTGTGCTTTAGTTGCTATTAGCGGTTTCCTCCTGTGCTCAATTAGGTATGTGCAGTTTCCTCCTGTCCTCCAATTACTATTTGCAGTGGTGGTGGTGGTTTGGGAGGGAGGGATTGCCCCAGCAAAAGCATTTCATTACATTACATTCAACACTGGATTTTTTTTTTTTTTTGATGATGCATAGCCAGATATATTGGTAAGTGCAGTTTACTAACCCAAGTGTCTCAAGTTTTTCTTATGGCAATACACACACACATTTGGGCAATATTTCCTTGCACCTGATGCCACTGTTCACCTAACAATAAATAACGTACAGTAACAGGAAGTTGGCAGTTATCATGGGTTGTATTGTGGGGAAGGTCAGTAGTTGCCTAAGGGTCAGCATAAGGGTGACCTCAATGAGCCTAACAGGCATCCTGTCTCTGACAATGGGAAACCTTACCCAAAAGTTAAAGGTATTTATCACAACAATCTATTAAAAGGCAGAAAAGTTCATTAGTCTGTTGTTCTTATATTGTAGGTTTTAAGTGGAAAATTAAAGCTTGTATTTAAAGAATGTCATTAAAAATTTTTTTTCACAGCACCTTCCAGTCGTGAGTTGCAACACGATTGTACGCTGCAGATCGTGCCGAACGTACATCAATCCTTTTGTGGTATTTAAAGGAGAAAGACGTTGGGAGTGTAACCTGTGTTTCAGAGTTAATGAGCTCCCAGAAGAATTTCAGTATGATCCTGTAAGTGAATGGTTTGTATTTTGACAGTACTGAATAATAATCTTTGTTTTTAGCACATTGTAAGTGAGCCTGAGTGTACCGTTTTATCCAGGACGTACATTGATAGTCTGTCACTGATTAGAGAAATGTGTTGACATTTAATAAAAAAATTTGTCTGATGTAGTCATCTCATGGCTTTGTGGTGTTAGTAATTTCAGCAACATTTATGTAACGGATGTGGATTTACGAGCAAAGTGATTCTAACATTTTCAGAATTTAATACTGTATTAAATTTGAGGTTCTTTTGTCCTTTTCTTCGTGTTTCATGTTCTCTGCACATTTCTCCATGGAATACTACTTTTCCTCCTTGTGTCAGGGGAGGGTGGATTGTTATATATGATCTAAAATTGTTATATGATCTAAAAAGCATCTTTCCTGATGAAGCACTGAGCTCTGCATCTCTGTTGGGATTGACCTCTGTCCCCTCTGGTTTGACCCCTTTCTTTAGCCAACAGATGGCAGAATGTAGTGGGTCTAGGTGCCAGTTTCAAAGGTCAGAAGACCCAGTCAAACATTTCAGGATGTGAAAACTTTTTTTCTAAGTACCGTACCTGGAAAAACTAAAATAAGTTTTTGCATTGAGCTTTTGGTTTCCCCTCTTTTTACCAGGTTAGTAGAACATACGGTGACCCATCTAGAAGACCAGAGGTTCGAGAAGCAACAATAGAATTTATTGCTCCTCAAGAATATATGTTACGGCCTCCTCAACCAGCAACATATCTGTGGATTTTGGATGTTTCTCGCCAAGCTGTCGACACAGGCTACCTTAAGGTGTGTTTGGAAATATCTTGACACTTTCGCGCTCTCCGCAAAGGTCACTCAGCCAACCGTAAGTGCAACGAGCGTTTTGCCGCGTAAGCGTAAAAACAAAAATGTGTATACTCTTTTTACTCTCATGACCTTAGTTCTCGAGCTACGTATTTCATTTTGGTACCAACGTGTTCGCAATAAAATTCTCTAGAAGAACATTAATAAAAAAAGTCACGAAACGTATAGGGATACCAGCACCAAATAAATAACTACGAAGAAGACTCGCCGTGAGCGCCCAACAGCAACAAAATGTTTTTACTCTTGGGATTGTTATCACCTCCACACTTGTTCTACAGCGTTAATTTTGGTATCAATGGACTCGCAATGAAATTCCCAACACTGTAATATGAATATAAGCGTAGAATAATGATGCGGCCCGCCCGCAAGAGTGTGGGAAGTGATGAAATTGTTACCCGGTATCGGTGACGGGACGACGCACGGCGCTTTGAAAGTTTATACTTATTTCACTCTCATTACATTAATTTTCTATGTACGTCATTCATTTTTGTGTCAATGTGTTCGCAATAGAATGTTCTATGAGCCCATAGGTAAAAAAGATCAACAAAGCGTAAGATAGAATAGCGCCAAATATAAAACGCTGGAACATATCAGTGGGCGTCAAATACACACGAAATTTTTTACTTTTGTTATGTTTGTCAAGTTTATACTTGTTGCACACAGTTATTTTTGGTTGTACATTGATCGGAATAAAATTCCCTAAACAGACATATGCATATAATACATGATATGGGGGAAGCATTACCAGTATAAACGGCTAAAGTCACCCACCTGCAACCCGTTTGGGACATAATACCATTTGATCGAAGTGGTCCACACCTTTCATGAACTTATTGTACAATGCAGCCTAGTGGTGAGAAAGAGAGCCTCATGGCGCGCAGTTTGAAACAAACCCAAAGTAAATCGGATAAAAATTGAATTTTATACAAATATTTTAAAAGAGGACATAACTTTATGTCCACTATGCGTTAGCGTTAGACGAAACAGGACTCGCCGGCGAGTCCGGTTAGCGCGAAAGTGTTAATCCATTAAAATAAAAATTAGCCAAATTTTTTGTTTAAGCTTTTGGTATTTGTTTCCATAGGTTGTGTGTGATGTGTTGTTGGCACAGTTGGACAAGATACCAGGAGATCGCAGGACTATGATTGGATTTATAACCTTCTCTAGTAGTGTCCAGTTCTATCTAATGGGAGAAGGTAAGGCTAGTAATTGTAGAAGTTTACTCTGAATTATTAATCCTCCCAAATCACTCTTAGTACTTACAGTACAGTACTTCATTGCATCCACACTTTGGTAATTTCACATCAGTGAGGCTAACTACTGATCACTATCCTGATTTTTTACCAGTTCATGGTGTAAATGCTATCGTCATTTCCTTGTTTCCCCTTTTTATGGAGTGGGGACGTAGCAGCCCAAGAAAACAAGAGCATTATGGTAAAAGAAAGTTGATAGTCATTTATTGTTTCATCTACTCTGTATTGCATCACAGATAAGTGCAATATAGAGCAGTCATCCAGAACACTGCTATACAAGTACAGGGCATCTTGTCAGTTGTAATGTACTGTGCAAACAACTTCACTTCTTGAGCAATGCTGCCACCCATTTTGTTGCAATATCCTGACCATCTTGCCCTCTAATACACTGAATACATCTTTTTAATAATAATTTCTTCAACTTTGTACACACTACTCTTGCAATTCATTTATTTTTGCACTCCACATTTTACCATTATATTTCTTTCCTCCTTTTATATATTCTCCCAGCAGCATACAACATATTGCACATTAGACAATGTTGCTTTACAGTACATTTGTAGTTATTAGAAAGAATAGAACATAAGCACCAATTCATAAATGTTAAACCTCGGCATTCACTTTGGTGTTTTATCATATGGTGGTTACGCATAGTTTTATGCCGGGATGTGCTGCCAGGCTGCCCATGGAAATGTGATGCATGTTGGTTTTGTTAATGGTCTAATGGGAGAAGAGGAGGATTAAAAAAAACAGGAATTGTATTAATCTGTAAAAATGTGGGCTGCAAATAATTGGTTAGTATACTTGCAAACTTTCTCAAACTCTCTTGGATATTTTTTTGCATAAAGTACATGACAGATGCACCAACTTGTTCTAATGGATCAACATTTTAACTTAAAAAAAAAATGAATAATTTTCAAATTTGCATAAATGGTAAAATTTCACCAATTTGTCTTGAATTTATTATGGTCTAAAAATGGCATATTAGCATAATCTTTTGTTTTATATAAGTTTAGGAGTATAGTTTACTGTAAAAAAAAAAAAATCAATGTGGCCTTCCAACTATGTGCCAAATTTAGACACAGTTGTAACCCCAAAATTTATGGGTTTATGTACAAATATATAAAAAAAAATTTGAACGAAGAAGATTGCACATGTGAAAATGGTGAGAATCTATTAGAAACTGATGTGTTGATGTCTCAAAGCGGAAAAATATTGATCATGGAGATGAATGAAGATTAAGTTATCGACAACGAATGTGGTCGTTCTAATGTATGAATTTTCCTGTAGGTTTTAATAAACATGGTTTGGCATTCGTACTCGAATATGCGAAAGTTGTAGGTCAATGGTGTTAAAATGAACTCAAGAAAAAATATCCCCCCCCCCCCCCCAAAAAAAAAATATAGGGATAATAATAATGGATTAGGGGATATATATGTATACTTTATATAAGTGATAGAGCCCTAATCTGGACCCCATTCAGCAAAACAACCTAATGAAAAGGAAAATAGTTTGTAATCTGTGAAAAAATTTGCCCCAAATAATTGTCACAAGTTCCACCACCTGTGCCTGATTTACATGTTGACCAATTTCGCTCTAACTTCACATACTTAGTGACGGGTATGCATTCTCCAAGATGTAGAAGCCCCAACAAGATCCAATAAGCAAAAAAAAAAAAAATTGGAAGTAATATGAAAAGTTGGCATTGAGCAATGTATTTATATGATATATAATAAAATGCAGCAAAATAACATGCTTACTCATTATTATTTGTGTGAAATTTTGCCCTCCAGGTGGCAATCAGCAATCCTAGAAGGCACAAGCTGCATATCCACTTTGTAGACCCTCTTTACTACTACTACTTTTTTGTGTGTCGTACAGGTGTTTGCATCTCTTTATCATTGCATTATTTATAAGTTCCACTAATTATGAGATGGTATTGTTATCATCAGTACCAATTGCACACTTTTTTTTTTTTTAATTCATATTAAATCTATTTCTTAATTAACATATTGGGATGAAATTTTTACGACGCTGATGCCAAAGGAAAAATAATTATCAGAAGTACAGAAGGAAAAATAATTATCAAAAGTGTGCAAAGCCATTATGATTATGTAACACCTGGAAGGGATAGGAAGGTTTTGATTTTGGATAAGACATGCTGTGGAGGATGAGATTAGCCATGAATGATAAAGTATACTTCACAGGGATTTAAGAAGTAAAATATTAAAAGTTGAGATCTGGTAGATGAGTATGAGAGAGTTGATAATGATCTCAGAGAATGACTGACAAAATGAACTTGTAGTGTATGTGGCATTATTACAAGACATGTTTGGTGACGCATCCCAATGAAGTGTAATCACCTAGTTGTTGTTTTCGTGTAGTTATATTTGCAGGGGATGAGCCACAGCTCTTGGTACCCACATCTCAACCCGTAATCAACTGGTATATAGGTTCCAGAGTCGATTGAACTATTGTATCTACATTTAAAACTGTATGAAGTCTGCCTCCACTATATCACTTATAACATTCTAATTGTTCACTACCGACACTGAATTTTTTGTTTTGTTTTCTAATGTCTCTGGCTCATTAGGGTACAGTACTTATTTTCTATCCATGACCTCTTTTTCATATATTACTCCTGCTCATAAGTGTCCTTGTCTGCCCTGTCTAGTCCCATGAGTATTTTGTATGTAGTAATCATGTATCCCCTGTTTCTTCTCTCTCCTAATAACATGCTAATTTAACATGTGTAGTCTTTCCTTGTAACTCTTACCTCTCGGCTCTGGGACTAGTCTGGTGGCATACTTCTGAATTTTCTCAGCTTATGTGTAGTTGCACAATCTAGTATAAGAATAGGGAAAATGCTTGATAGAAAAAACACAATCATATGTGATCTGTTTATGGCCTTCCTCCTAAGAGAGATATAGGAAGTGGGAGAAAAAGTCTGTGACTAGGTTATGTTTTGGCTATACAAGATTAATTTAGGGGTTTCACGTGGGAGCAGTACTGTGGGGGGGGTCTCATGGAAGCACAACAGTTGGGAATATAAATAGTTGCCTTTCTTCATGCAGCAGCAGCACTTGATATGTTGTACATCCTGAATTTCCACATTATCCATTTAGTGATGTATTTCTCTTTATAGTTTTTAGTTTGTCTTTAGTTCATTTTTGCTCAATAGTTCTGTAATCTTCCTCTGTTGTATTTATTTTACCTATTTAATACTTCATTCTTTTAATGTTTGATGCTTCTTCATTTCTTTTCAATTCTTAGTATTTCAAGACCTTTATTCAGTGGCTAATATATTTTAGAAGATCACAAATGAGGAATAAGTTCCATAAGGGAACAAGAATTCCAAAAAGGATACAAAGAAACTGTATGCTCTTAAACATGTTCTTTAAATATTGCTAAATATTATCAACAGCTAATTTTATTATTGACTATATTCATATTATTAATTTGTTGCAGATCAGAAACATGTCCAGATGTTGGAAGTCGGAGAGATAGAGGAAATGTTCGTGCCGAATCCTGAGGACCTTTTGGTTAATCTGGAACAAAGCCGTTCTCTGGTTGAGGATTTCCTCACAACGCTCCCAGACGCACATGAGGGAACTTGCCAAACTCATTCTGCTCTTGGAGCTGCTCTCCAAGCAGCTTACAAATTACTGGTTTGTTGCACTGACATACTGTAACATGTTCCATAATTTCATGTATTTTATGTAAAAGTGGCCAGGCATTCTGTAGGCTCTACAGTAGAAATAAACATGATGAAGGAAAGCAGACTTGACGAGGTCAGCTTCACGTGACAAACTGCTGCACATTATCAAGAGGAACATGTAGACGTTAGTGCTATTTACATGTGTATGCGGCTGACTACTATGTTTTCGTTGGTAATTTTGACAGCTGTTTGAGCTATCTACATATTTTCTTAAGTTTCATATTTTGAGATATTATATACACAACAGAACTTTATTAATTGTTCATTTGATTAAACTGCCGAGTGATGTTATATTTTAAGGATTTTAGCACATTTTATTGCTAAAATTGATTTAATATCAGACTCTTTTTACATTAAAATTTAAACTTGACAAAAATTAAGTAATCTATTTAAAGTAGTTTGTTCTTGCAGGTAGGGAGAATGCTTGCTTGAAACCCTTCTTCACTTTTGGGTATACTGTGTATGTTGCCACTTGCTCATAATGTCTTGTCATTCTGCTGTCTTCTCATTCTGCTGTCTTCTCAAAGTTGTGGAGGGCATTGACTCCAGAAATTCAATTCCATAAGTTCGTTCCACAGTTCACTATTTATTCAATGAATGAGTTCATCCTGATGTATATATATTTTAGTTTCCACTTTTGTATAGGCTCATCTTTTAATTCACACCTAAAAAGTAATTATACAGTATTTATATATAAAGTTTGAGCATGTCTTAGGTGGCCTAAGACTGGCAAATTTACCAAAAGTTATACTATACTGCACTGAGATTTCTTTTTAAATGATTAATATCACAATTACAGAGCCCAATTGGTGGACGCATCACACTGATGACAACCACACTGCCATCTTTGGGACCCGGTGCACTGAAAGCGCGTGAAGACCCTAACCAGCGAGCTGGGAAAGACATTCAAAACATGGGTCCGGCAACCGACTTTTACAAAAAATTGTCTCTCGACTGTTCGGGCCAACAAGTAAGATCTTGTGTATCCATGTTCTTTCATGAGATTTGTTATTCTTCTTTACCAAGCTAAATTTTGACATTACATTCTGGTACACTAAGCCAAGATTGTTGTTACCCTGATACAGTATACCAAGCTAAAGTTTGTATTAACTCTGTACAGTATGATAAAGGACAAAATCTGAATTTGATGAAAATTTCATGCTATAGTTAGAGTAGGTCGCCTAAAAATGATTGTTTGAGAAATGAGGATTCTGAAGAAACTGAAGTGCGCCACGCTCTTGGTCGGCCCATACGTGTATCAACAATCTCGAGCACCGAGGCAAACCTCGAGTACCGAGTCGAAATTTTTGAAGAAATTGAGCTCGAGAACCGAAAAATTTGAAAACCGAGGTTCCACTGTATACTAATATATCATCACTGTTGCACATAATCTACTCTAGCTTGTATGCACTTTTCTTTTTGTATGTGTGTTCTCAAGAGAATTCAGTTGTGAACATTTTTATACCAAAATTGTAGTTAGTTACAACCCAACACACAACTTTGAGCTCTTGGGAGACCAGAACTTTTATGGTTAAGAACACGCAGATAGGTTGTACTGCCCAAGTGTTGATATGAATGGCAATAGTGATGAACTAGAAGAGCAGTAGTGATCATATTATACAGGGAGACCCTGCTAGTGGGCCATGTTATTTTTGTATCATTGCATCATGTGGCAATGCAGATGTAGAAGTAGCACTGTAATACTTGGAACATGGAGCAGGTTCACATATGAATTGACCCATGAATGGGAATTTAAGGTCTTACAAATGAGCGAATGTTTATAAAGCAGGTGTTTGTATAGCTGTACTGTATACAACCTCCTACCAAATAGCTCAAGACTCGGAATACCTAGAGTATAACTCGAATGGGTTATGGAAGATATAATCCCCAAGCCTGGCCCTGGGGCCATGCCCTCTAGATTACTTCATTTAAAAAGCTGTTCATTGGAATGGGAAAATGATACACCAATAATTATAGAAAAGGTAGCTAAAGATTCAATAGAGTAAGAACTAAATTCTTATTACTCTGCAGTTTCAATCACAGAAAAATGTACAAGTGACAAAGGACTTCCATTGTGCATATTAAATGTAGAGAGCAAAGTTAGAAGACACAGCAGGCAAATATTTCTCAAGACAATGCATCACTAACCTAACAGAAGCAAGAGAGGAGGACCCACCAGCAACACGATCTATTGTGTATCTATCTCAAGCTGAGGTGATGTTCAGAATAAGCAAATAGTGATTTGAAATAGGATAGTAAATACTGGAAATAAGTTAGCAAGTCAATGATTAAAACCAAGTCTGAAAATTTAAGCTGAGGGTAAACAAAGAAAAGAGGACTGGTGAGGTATAAATAGGTGATGTCTTATGTTTGTGTACACGGAAATGTTCACTGTAAATATTTTCCCAAGTTACATCTAATCAATAAATACTTTCAGATTGCTGTGGACTTGTTTACACTTAACTCTCAGTATGTGGATATGGCCACACTCACAGGAGTAAGCAAGTTCTCTGGAGGCTGTATACATCATTTTCCAAATTTCCACGTTACGAGGAATCCAGCAGCCGTAGGCCCTTTTATATCTTGCCTTACACGGTACATTACTAGGAAAATTGGCTTTGAGGCTGTCATGAGAATCAGGTGAGTTGACTGTAAAGCTTAATGCTTATGACTATATTAAAGTACTGTATCTGATTACTATGAGTATTTCCTTAACTTTTGATCATATATTATTAAGACCAGTCTGCCATTGTTAAACTAATTCCTTGGTGTGCCTCTCAACACCCTGGTCTCTTGAATAATACATTGCATTTAGTATCAAAATCCCCAATGGTCAAAATATGATGTACTATAAATCATAGCAGCTCTCAAACAACCACATTTTCAATTGGTGGATCTATCAGTGAGGTTACATTTGGGCAGTTTACTACATTTTTTGTCCATTGTAACAGCTCGAGTCTCAGAGCACAGCTCAGAAAATTGGTTCAGATGTTTGATAGAAACATCAAACTGTATACCAGATATACTGGTATACATGTATATCAGTATATATTTATGCTATAGTATGTATTTTTTATTTACAGGGCAACCAGAGGTTTAGCCATAACAAATTTCCATGGGAACTTCTTTGTTCGGTCTACTGACTTACTGTCTCTACCAAACATTAATCCTGATGCAGGCTTTGGCATGCAGGTCAACATCGAAGAAGCATTACACAATATACGCACTGCATGTTTCCAAGCTGCTCTTCTGTATACGTCAAGCAAAGGTAATGAAATGTGATATAAACATCCAAAAATTATTTTAATCTTTCCTTCATTACTATTATCCTATTTTCACTTGTGGGACGGGTAGGCAACCTTCTAGAGAATAAAGAGGGGAACTTAATAGGAAGAGAAGGGTATTAATAGTAATACAGCCATTTATTCACCACATCAGCATACAGTGTAAATATTTGTTGGTTATATAACATTTATTTGATCTACATCCTAATATCTAAACTGATTGGTGTCAAATGGTTCTAATTGCAATTCATAGGTGGGTGTGTACTTACCTAGTTGTGCTTGCAGGGGTTGAGCTCTGGCTCTTTGGTCCCGCCTCTCAATGGTCAATCAACTAATGTACAGGTCCCTGAGCCTACTGGGCTCTATCATATCTACACTTGAAGCTGTGTATGGAGTCAGCCTCCACCACATCACTTCCTAATGCATTCCATTTATCTACTACTGACACTGAAAAAATTCTTTCTAACGTCTCTATGGCTCATTTGGGCACTCAATTTCCACCTGTGTCCCCTAGTGCATGTGCCCCTTGTGCTAAAATGTCTTTATCTACCCTATCAATTCCTCTGAGAATCTTGCATGTGGTGATCATGTCCCCTTTAACTCTTGTCTCCCAGTGACGTGAGGTCTAATTCTTGTAGTCTCTCCTCGTAGCTCGTACCCCTCAGTTCGGGTACTAGTTTGGTGGCAAACCTTTCAACCTTTGTGTGTGTGTGTGTAATTACCCAAGTGTAATTACCCAAGTGTAGTTACAGGATGAGAGCTACGCTCATGGTGTCCCGTCTTCCCAGCACTGTCATATAACAAAGTTTGTGTGTGTGTGTTTACTAGTTGTGTTTTTACTGGGGTTGAGCTTTGCTCTTTCGGCCTGCCTCTCAACTGTCAATCAACTGTTTACTAACTTTTTTTTTTTTTTTTTTTTTTCACACGACACACACACACACACACACACACACACACACACACACACACACACACCCCAGGAAGCAGCCCGTGACAGCTGACTAACTCCCAGGTACCTATTTACTGCTAGGTAACAGGGGCATTCAGGGTGAAAGAAACTTTGCCCATTTGTTTCTGCCTCGTGCGGGAATCGAACCCGCGCCACAGAATTACGAATCCTGCGCGCTATCCACCAGGCTACGAGGCCCCCCCATTCCCCCCCATGTGTGTGTATTCACCTAGTTGTGCTTGCGGGGGTTGAGGTCTGCTCTTACGGCCTGCCTCTCAACTGTCAATCAACTGTTTCTACTGCAATTTTTTTTTTTTTTTTTTCCCCACACCACACACACCCCAGGAAGCAGCCCGTGACAGCTGACTAACTCCCAGATACCTATTTACTGCTAGGTAACAGGGGCATAGAGTGAAAGAAACTCTGCCCATCGTTTCTCGCCAGCGCCCGGGATCGAACCCGGGACCACAGGATCACGTGTCCAGCGTGCTATCCGCTCAACCACCGGTTCCCTAACATCCACCGACTCACACAGCTCCGGTGTGTCTCTGTCACCAGCAACTTCTAAAAAGCAAGATAGTAATGAACTCTAAAACCATACATTACACAAGAAAATTGTAGTCTGTCCATTACCATTGTAAAGTTGAAAATTAAAATTAGAACCTGCAATATTTCTCTCAAAATTATCCGGTTCTTGATAAACTACAGTACTAGCTTTTAACACATCAGCTTTCATGTTTACAACTCTGTAAATGAGGGAGTAGGCAGGTGGCGGCCCTGTGTTCTCCACATATCACCAGAGAAGCATAGCCTTGGGCTGGTCCAAAGTACACCTAGTAGCATGCACTAGAAAAAGTTAGAGAAATGAATAAAAGTTATGTGAGGTATTAACCTGTAAACCACAACCACACACCTGTTATTAAGTTGATTTTCTGGTGTGCATGAAAAATATTCCAATAGTCTTTTTCCTTTCTATATCACATTTATTTCTGGTGCGGAAAAAATGCAAATACTTTGGCCGTTGTAAGGTGAAGGAATGTTAAAAATGTCAAATTCTAATAATCAATTTTCAAGTACTTTTTTAAATAGATTTCTTATAAAAAATATCTTCCTAATCCATAAAAGACATTGAAATTTTTCATAGCATTATGGTCCCTATCTTGGACATTAGTAAGTGGATGGAGATGCAACTAACATGGTGCCAATTATTTAAATAATGCCTAGGAAGGCAACTAAGGCTCTTGGGATTTTTCCAATAATGCAAACAATTGCCAGAGGCCATTTGTGTTCACTGACTCTCATAGAATCATTATCTATCACTCAAAGGTGATACGAGCATATTGCTGTACCCCTTGAGGGCGACAGGCGCAGTTTAAGGATAAAAGGGGACTTGATTAATGTTTCTGCAGGGTATGGAGTGACTTGTATATTGTGTGATCTGAATGGGAGTAAATAGAATATTGCTCGAGTGAATAAAATATGAGGGATGACATCCACAGATAATGATTGGAACATGTTCTTTTTCTATGATGAATCTGACTTGAGTGGTGGTTAGATGGGTCAGACATTGCTATTTGTAACCCAGGAGCTCCCATATTCTCAACTGTGGAATAGGACAAGCATGTTTATTATACATTGTTGATAAATATTGAACCTAGAGCATCGTAACCTAACCTAACTTTTTCGGCTACCTAACCTAACCTAACCTAACCTATAAAGATAGGTTAGGTTAGGTAGGGTTGGTTAGGTTCGGTCATATATCTACGTTAATTTTAACTCCAATAAAAAAAATTGACCTCATACATAATGAAATGGGTAGCTTTATCATTTCATAAGAAAAAATTAGAGAAAATATATTAATTCAGGAAAACTTGGCTTATTAGGCAAATCAGGCCTTACATAGTAGGTTGAGAAGTGCGTTCTGGCTACTAGGTACGACATATATATGTAATTAAATTTTTATTGTTTCATGCAAGTGAAGTTTAAATTAGTAGTATGTAATGAGTTAAGAATATCGATGGGTATGGGTATTTTTGTCCAGTGTGTTAATGTATAAATAGACTGGCCTGTAAATTTTTACTAATAATATACATGCGAGTTAATAAGTAATTGGATTATATATTTTATATATATGTATATTTTATAATTATTTATTTATTTATTTTAAATCAGATAATTATATTTGTTTTAGGTGAGCGTCGAATCAGAGTGCATACATTATGCCTGCCTGTTTCTCCGAACATGCATGAAATAGTAACAGCAGCTGATCAGCAAGCAATAATAGGCTTGTTAGCCAAGATGGCAGTAGACCGCTGTCTTGCGTCATCACTGTCCGATGCCCGTGAGGCTCTAGTTAATGCCTGTGTGGATGCACTTACAGCCTTCAAGATTGGTCTCTCAAACCCAGCACATGGTGCATTAGAATCACCACCAACATTAAAACTGCTTCCCTTGTTTACACTTGCTCTCGTTAAGTCGGTAAGCTTTTGTCTGCATGCTTATTCTTGTATTTTACAACCTGGTACAATTTTCATTAAGCTGAATTAACTGAAGACTAAATGAGCCTTATTGACTTATTCTATTTTAATACATTTTACTCTACAGGGCTCATTGTATTAGTATGCTTTTGTTATTGCAGATTGCCTTCAGAGGGGGTTTGAGCACTAAACTGGATGATCGTCTCTTTGCTATGTGTGAACTTAAAACGATGCCACTTAAACATCTCATGACCTTCATATATCCAGACCTGTACCCAATACACATGCTATCAGATAAAGGAGCACTTAATGTGGACGATCAGGTACGATGCTGTGACCTATTTCAGTTTGGTTAATGTTTGAAGAGATTCAAGTAGAAAATGTGGTTTTCTTGCTGAACACCAAATATTCACCTGTACTATGTATAGGGGTAAATGTATGCCTGTGTTACATGTAAGGGTAAAATGTATACCTGTACTACATATAGGGGAGGGGGGTACAGTGTGCACCTATGCTATATATAGGGTATAAAATGTATATCTGTTTTATGTATAAGGGATAAACATACACCTGAATAAAGGGGAAAACACACCTGTTGATACAGGAGTAAATGACTTCTGACTCTTGTTAGTGCATGGTTAAAGGTTCTCCTTCCCATAGTTCATGGTAAGCCTTACCCAAATAGTTTTCCCCTGGAATATGAACTGCCAGTCAGTTTATATCTGTCTCCAACTACTGGGTGAACATGAGGTTAATGTTTGGTGCCCCGACCAGGGTCTTGAATCCAGATAAAATCCACACTTGAGAGGCAGGGCAATTGTGATACCACTATTCCATTATAGACTGTACTTCATGAATGATCTGCAAGTAATTCTAGCTTAAGTCTTCCTACTTGTGTATTAGGAAAGAGTTTTTGAGGTAATTTTGATATTATAATTTTGTTATGGACAGTAATGGTTTATCTGTAGGTGATTCCTCAACCTGGACGCCTTCACTTGTCTGCGGAGCGCTTGGAGCGATGTGGAGCATATCTGATGGATACAGGATCTACTATATACATATATGTGCGCTCTGGAGTTTCAACAAAATGGGTTGAAGGAACTTTAGGAGTACCAAGCTATGCAGTCATTCCTCAGCCTTTATATGAAGATGCTCTTCCTGCTCTGGATACGTTGGATTCACAATATTTGCGTAACTTTGTTTCATATCTTCAGAGAAATAAGCCTTATCAAGCCCCCGTTTTAGTTCTAAAGTAAGTGCAGTATGATTTTAACCAGGTTAAATTCAAGATGATATTGCTACTCTTTTGCATGTAAATGACTTTAACCCTAAAACCGCTAAGGGCTTTTTGGCCTGCAACACCGCCAGGTGCAACATAATTTTTTTTTTTTAAATTGAATAGTGTGTAGTGTGATATATAATAAAATGTGTAAACATAATATTGCATATTAGCTATACTCAAAATTATGGTGTACATATTAGTGATTCAATTAAGTTTGTAAAACAATAAACATAGTTTGCTGTTATTACACTATATATAGTTTGCTGTTATTACACTATATATACATGTTATATATAAGTATCTACATGTTTTGGTCACCATAACGAACCACTAAGTTGGTATGGCGAGCCAAAAAGCAACGAAGAGTGGCCGCAACACTAGTCAGCCAGCCACTGGCCACTGTTCCCTTCCTCAGCTCACCTCACTCGCCAACATTCTCCTCCCACCATATTGTTTTTGCTTTTATTCACTATATACAGATGTTATATATAAGTATCTACATGTTTTATTCACCATAACTGTACATTTAAGCTGGTATGGTGAGTTCAGGCAATAAGAGATGCAACTACACACACAGCTGGTGGCTGGCTCCCTCACTGGTTCAAGGCATGATGCACTAATATTTCTCCAACAATACTGTTTGTGGTGTTATTACACTATATACACACATTATATATAAGTATCTACATGTTTTATTCACCATAACTACAAATAAGCTGGTATGGTGCCCAAAGACCATAGTGCCCACCAATACACATGACATGCCATGCAGACGACGCCACCTCCCTCACTAAAATGGCAGCTCCCAACATACTCCTATTGCTGTCATTACACACTATACACACGTTATATATAAGTATATATATAACGTGTGTGTGTGTGTACATTTGTACAAATCCACAAGGGCCGTGACGAGGATTCGAACCTGCGTCCGAGATCATCCCAGACACTGCCTTAATCTTCTGAGCTACAACATGATCAAAAGGAGTTGAAACCAAAGTTGTACTGAACTTACAGGATCCTGCAGCCTCTCCGAGGCACAAACCAGGGTTTTACACAACTCCCCCATGCACTCGAGCTATGTCAATAACTTATGATATAAATATGATAATTTATACAATAAATTATAAATAAAGACAATAAATATGATGCATTTGATGCATCATAATAGAATTTGACCACAATGCCATATATTTAGTTATATATTTGTTTATATATTTATATATATTTATATATATCTTTATTTATTTCACTTTTTCTTCGATGCTTTTCCATCTACAGCATTTTGTTATCCACAGAACTGTTTGACTGCTTAAAGTTGTCAATATGCACTTCCTTCATCCAGTAATATGATGATAGTGAGTTCATTTAGAATTTTAACATTATTCTCATCTTGAAGTAGTTTAATCAAATTTTTTCTTTGTCCACAGGGAAGATAACCCAGCTCGTATGTTATTTATTCAGCACCTCGTGGACGATAGAACAGAAGGCTCTCACTCGTATGTTGAATTCCTTCAATTTCTTAAAACTCAAATTAAGTAGGATTTTGTTAGTGTATAAATAAAATGAAAGTGCAATTTTTGGATTTCTGAATCTACATATTATTTTGAATAATGTGATAATTTATCAGATACAATACAGTATTTAGAAAGCTGCAGTCAAGACATTGGAATGTAAAGCTACGATACAAAAGGGGCAAGTAGGCAAGTACTGTACTTGGTAATGCAGGAGAAATTGCTGGGCCATTTTATGGAAAAAAGCTAATCTGCTAATAGTTGCCAAGTTTAAGTGGATATAAATGTAGGTCCATATTGTCATCATGTTACAGTGTTTATGATCTGTAGGAGTCATGGATTTGGTTTTGTGGTGGACAGTTTGTAACTATTCCTTGGTGTCTGCCTTTTTTTTTTTTTTTTTTTTTTTTTTTTATAACTTCATAATGGGGAAGTTTTTATGTGATCAATAGGAGTCAAAGATTTTGAAAAACTTTTTTTTTCTTTTAAGATATCAGGGATATGTATGATAGGTTATCCTGTATAAAAGTGAAAAATATTATCTATATGGTCTTTCTTTACTATCCAGATTGTAGATTTTGTATGTGGGTTTGCTGGTATTTTGCAAATTTTATATTTGATAGGATGAACAATCTTTTAAATAGTAGTAGAGAGAGAGAGGCAGTCCTCCTACACGTTTTTAAGTAGCCAGGAGTGCAGTCAGTACTTCACAGCACACTGCATTTTTGATCCATCAGAGTACAGGGAGTTATTATAATATCAGCGCAGTTTGTTTGAATTACCTGAAGATATGAAATGGCATTTTTTCTTACTTGAATTTTGGAATGTCTATCGAAAGAAAGTAGAAAAGAATATCATTATTTGCCGCTAGTCTTGTTAATGTGTGTCGATGTTTTTTGTTTTTTTTTTTTTGTTTTTTTTTTTTACTTGAAACTATATTTTGGTTAAAAAGTTTATTTAAAATAAATTGTGTCCTATATAGAAGATTTGTGATTGGTTCCTGAAGCAAAACTGGTGTTGGAAATATTTTGATGTATGCTTTCTAGAAATTGAATGTTTTTTATTTGACGCATTAATCTCATAACCAACCAGTCTTCTCAAATATATTTGTGAAACTATTGTAAAAATATTTCACTCTGACTCGACGTGCAACTGTATAAGATATGGGTTGTGGTATCAAGTGCAGCTTCAGGAACTTGTCAACAGCAGTTCACATGTAATGATTATTATATTCACAGTAGCTTGTACCTGTTTTAATGGTACAGTACTTGTTCAGTTTTCCATACGCTATTTTTTCACTGGTCGCTTGTTTTTAATATTCCATGTCATTGATTATATATATATATATCCAGTGGTATTCCAGCTATTATATTAAGCTTGTTTTTTTAATGTGATGAATAAAAATAATGGTTAAATAGATATAATTAGATTATTCACAGCAAATATATTTTTTTCATTTGTGCGTCTCAAAAATATTTTGTCTGCTCAATTTCTGTTTCCTTGCATTGTAACCTTTTCTTGGGAGTTTTGAGTTTGTATTTATATACATGTAGTTGCCAAAGCGTTGTAAAGCACAGGCAAATGGCTGGATATTAATATTCATGGAATTCTTGGATTTGAATGGGTTAAAAGGAAGTACAATTCACCAAAGTTAATTATAAAAAATAAATTATAAAAATATAACAAGAAATCCAGCTGCCTTTTTATGTCAGGAATATATTTACAGTATTTTATAATTTTGAATATCATTAAAGAAACTATTGTAGAGCTTCCTTAGGCATGGTCCAGTGTTCATTGTTTGAAGGTTCAGAGTGGTTTGTGTACATGGAGACATTTCTGTGCATTTTCACAAGTTGGCAAAAAAGGAAATAGTTTTCATACAATTGGTGGCTGCAACATCCATCAGGGAAACAGTCAAAATGGTCGTACACTAGTGAGTAACTCTGGCATGTGTGGGTGTATATTATCAGTGTAAATAAACCCAGTTCTTTTAGTTTCATATCAGATAAAAATGTTAGCGCATTCGTGGAATAATTAAAAGTGTAAAGGTCATTATTGTACATTTATTTTGTTAGTGTTATGTGAGGTTCTATAAAGAAAGTTTAACATGAACTAAAAGCAACATTTTCCAAGTTGAGGTTCTATTCAGCTGTTGCCCGTTGTACATTTTCAAATTTGTGATTAAGGCAATGACTGCACAATAAAAGGTTATATATATATATATAATCCATAAATTTTTATCCTTAGTTTGTAATAAATCTTTACAAGTTTCAGTAAGCAAGTACAGTATTGCAATAATGGAAATATTCTCAACTTCATGCATACAGTACCATTATTTTTTTGATAATTACAGTACTTTATTTTCTCTAGTGAGTGTTGCTATACATTTTATAGTATAGTATAACATTTTATTAAGTTTACCTTTTGAATGGTAAGGTAGATTTAATTGCACTCTCCTGACTATGTGCTGTCTGGTACTGACTTTGTTGTTCCACATGTTACTTCCTTAATGTGAGTGGCCACTCCTCCGTGTACAATTCTTTTTAAATGGTGTATCTGCGCTAACATTCTTTAGATATCCAGCCACTTGGGCTGGACGATAGTGATGATCTCGCTTCATGCAGGTCGGCGTTCAATCCCAGACTGTCCAAGGGGTTGGGTACTGTTCCTTACCCCTGTCCCATCCCAGATCCTTATCCTGACTTCTACCAAGTGCTATATAATCTGCTTGATGGGGTTCTGGGAGCTGTTCTACTCAGGTCAGGCTCGACTAAAGAGACCAAGCAGTCGTAATGGCTTGGCACTTTTTCCTGATGGTTCCATTCCATTCTTTTGATACACCTGTGCATGAAACATGTTTTTAATTGAACAGCCTGCTTCATCTTGTTCCACTTTGTTGTGCACCACCTTGTGGATTGTCCCAATTTTCAGAAAGGTCAGTTTTGCTTAAGTAATGTCCCTCCAGGACACTTGTCCTTTAATAGAATCCTTTGTAAATCTGAAACCATTGATATCGCTCACCGTGTCTCTCATATTGGCATCCAATGATTTTTAGCACCTTTGGATATACCATGGTTCAAGCAGTGTTACATAGTTTTCCCAGTTTGGTGGCACCTTTGGATAATTAATTTTCTGCTTGGTCTCGTTATCCATGTAGGACCCTCATCCTAGAGTTGCCCAACATTCCTGGACATTGTCAAGAATTTTGTAACTACACTGTCACCATCTCTTCTCAGTTGTTAATTAATAGTAATGGGACACTTGCTCCATTTTTTAGGTTTGCAACTCTCAACCTTCCTCTGACCCTTTGGCTATTTCTGTTTTAAGCCTTGACACCAAGGATTACATAATCTTTCTACTATTTAGTTGCATCCTTGCAATTTTCTCTTCTATAATCCTTCCCTTAAGCTTATGAAAAACCAATGCAGGGAAATGACACTAAAAACCACTTTAAATTTATCCTGTTCTGACGTCGTTATTTACGTAACTTGCTTGTTGGTCTCGGGGACGGGTGTAGACACTATAAAATAGGCAAGATAATACTAATACTGTATGTCTCATGTAATTAGTATCATTACCCATTTATCAAATCTTGTAGCAATAATTTCTTGGATTTGTGCTTCCGTAAAATAGTCAAGACTTTGTAATACTGAACTGAGGTTTCAAATAAGGACTTTCATATAAATCATAAATTATTTTAATTAAAAACTTTTATTATATAACAATACAGGATAAGCTTTAAGGCAATTTCACAAACTGAAGTATTTTTATATTGATGCATGTTGGCAATTTAGTTGTCTGGTGCATTTTGTAAATAATTTACAGTATAAAATTAATTCCTGCTTGTTACGAAATAGGATAGAAAAAGTTTAGATAAATATTGGCTTATAAATAAGCCTAACCAAATTCACTTAGTGAAGATATAGTTCATTCATGGTAATGAACATCTTGCGAGAAGCTGCACCCAGATCTCTTAATGATTTCTGTAGCTGCCCAAATGCCACACCTGATGCAAGACTCTATCGTCTTCCCTTGAACCAGTTGCGACATAAAACCTGAAGGAGAGATTCATTGTACCCAATTAATAGGAAGTAATTTTAACATCTTATGAAAAGTTCTGTACAAAACTTTAGTATTGTACATTACTATATATAACAGAACAGCTTAACAAAAATACTCAGTAGTAACCGATTTTTTTATATTCCTTAAAGAAAATAATGTAGCACTTTGCAATTTTGTTCTCATTTAGAATCTTAAACCTTAATGGCTCACCTCCAACAAAGGCATCACCAGCACCATTAGTATCAATTAGTTCTTCGTCAGTCAATTTAGTAGCTGGAAACTCTGTAATCTTACCATCTGCAATACATTAATATTAAAAATTATACATGAAAGAATAATGTCCTGTATAAAATATATATATATATATATATATATTGAGAATTGACCACAAATATGAGAGGTACTATTAGATACATGTAAATGAAATACTTGCGTTTAGCGAGAACAACATTGTCAGCGCCCTGAGTAATGATAACCAGACGTTCTCGTTTGGAGTTCTTCTTTTCGAGTGCTGCAATTTTCAGAGCTATCTCCTTCACGTCCGTTGTACCCAGTTCTTGAACTTCCGAAAATTTGGCCGCTTCCTGTATTAGTTAAACATTTGAAGGGAAAATATAAATTCACATAAATAGAGGATACTGTAAAAGCATACCTCAAGCATGAATTTAGGAAAGGAGTGGCTGTATGTAGAAATTATTCAACCTTTAATACCAAGTAATTATCAAAAGGCATCAAGCAGGGGTAATACCAATATGGCTGGGGCTATCTTTAACCTACTAGACAAAAAAAAAAAAATTTTAACCACCACAGGATGCACAGAGTTAAATGACTCCAGAGCTACGAGGTCACTTTGAGAGTCAACCACAATGACAAAGGAACACTGATGTCAGAGAAGCAGTCACATAAAAATTTACATAAATTCCAATGTGAAAATACTAGTCTCTGGGCATAGGCACATACAGGTTTGGTCAGGTAAGACTGGCATAGCTGACACTGTTGGTAGACTTAAACCCATCAGCGAATAGGGCAATCCCACCATGTGGGATCAATGCCTGGCAAAACTTTGAAAGTGGGGCCCCTCCATGGGGTCAAAAATGGAATGACACAAAGAAAGATACTGCAAACCTGAACTGATAGGGAATTTTGCAAGAAAGACATCCTTACAGAAAAAGTTAAGTGGTGAAAAGGAACAAGGCCCATCTGAGGGGTAACAGTTAATTAATTTAAGCACAAGTTAGAGTGACGATGTTCCAGGGACCATTTGAGACAGTGAAGGCAGTAACAATCATGATCCTGTGGACATGCCAGTTTCAACATACAAGCTCTGGGAAGGTGGCAAACGAAAGGCACCGAGGCATAACGTGGGACAACAATAATTGGGTTTAGACAGCATGAGAGGAGTGTGTGCATCTATCAGCTCTCCAAAATGTATGGGACAACACATAAGGAAGGTATGGGCCTTCGAGCATTCAACTTGGAGACAACATATTTGGGGTGACCAAGACATACGAGTGTCAAAGATTAACTCCAAAAGTTTATATAATCTTTATACAAATAGGGGTTACCATGGAATGACAATGGAAGCGAAGAACGACCTGTTTCCAAGTGAAAGTCATAGCACAAGTTTCAATTGTAAAGAACTTCAAGCCATGTCTGGTGGCCCAGGATGACATTATCAATTGTAAGTTGGAGTTGCTGTTGGAGGAAATGGAAGTTGTCACAGTGACAGCAGAGAGTCGCATCATCAACAGAGTTCTGAGAAAATAAGACTACTTTAAATGAACAACAAGAGAGGACACTTTGAAGGAAGAGTGGGAGATTGCCATGAATGCCAAAAGAATGAAGTTGAACAAAATATTTTACCTTCAGATAGTGTTATAAGCCTTTTCCAAGTAAAAAAGAACAGTAAAAACAAAGGGCTTTGTAGCAAAGTACAAATATAGACCTCCAAAGCCACCAAGATATCAGTCATGCTGCAACACATGTGAAAGCCAAACTGAGTTGGGGAGGGATGGCAATAGTATTCTAAGAACCACATTAGACGTACATTGACCATAAGTTCAAGAAGTTTGCAAATGCAACTCGTCAGGGTAGTGGGGCAAACATCCATAGGGAAGGTCCCTTGAGTACCAGGTTTCCAAATAGGAAGAACAACTGTTTCAAGCCAGACCTCAGGGACTGATGATACCTCCCAAATACAGTTATAGATATTCAGCAACTCGATAGTGAATGTCATTTGAGCCTGCTGCTGTAGAATCATTGAAGGACAAAGCCGACTGGAGTTCCAATAGAGACCATTATTGGGGGGAGGGGGGGCTGTCGAGGATAGCAAAAGGACACAGGAGGATCAGGAGCAGGTTCAGTGAAATCAGGGTGGGGTGGGGGCATAGGTATTGCTCAACATCCATTGTTAGTCACTACAAGAAAAGTAACAATCATCTGCATACTTTTGTTTATGTCTATAATGTTCTATGTATCAATGCCAGAACATGGCTATCTTACCAATTTAATCATACATAGAAAATTCAAAACACAATGCAATAAAACAAAGTGGCTATAATTAAGTGCATACTTACGGTTTCATTGCCGAAGATAATATCAACGTAGGGAAAGGCCTCCATCATGGGGTCTTTGAAGAACTCGCAAAGGAATGGAGCGGAAAGATTCATACAAAATACCTTGTTGTTCTCGCATGCATGTTTTCCAACCATCAGGATGGACTCTGGAGACACTGTTAAGAAGAAGCCCTGCCAAAGATGAGATTTTATTACTTAATGATTAAAGACAAATTAAAAGACTACTTACAGTTTCACAAACTATTATCCATGTTAAGCCTTCAAAGCTATTAAGCGAATGAACTGTGTAAAACTGTTGTGTAACAAATATGAATATAATGAATTTTTCCTTGTAAGTACTGTATATATTAGGCTTATATCATGCTGCACCCCCCACCCGGTTGAACTACCGACCCTCCCTAGGATGAAACCTCACAATAAACTAACTCCAAAAGAACCTTTTACTGTTAACACTTTCACGCCCCAGGCAACGCTCCGCGCGTATGCACGAACTACTCCTGGCGGTGCAGGCGAGTGCACGGCGACTCTAAATGTGTATACTCGTGTCAGTTTTCTCGCTTTAATTCTCATGCTACATCATTCGTTTTGGTATTATTGTGTTCGCAACAGAATTAATTCCCTTCAGGTGTATATGCATATAAGGTCCAAAAGCCAAGCGTGACTCCCCCACAGCAAAGCCTAAAGTCGGCAAAAGTTACCCGTGAGCGCACAAAATCAGTAAAATGTGTATTACTCGTTTCAGTTCTCACCTTAATTCACGTGTTACGTGGCTCATTTTGGTATAATTGTGTTCGCAATTAATTTCCCTGCAGGTGTTGTATATGCATATATTGTCCAAAAGCCAAGCATGACTCCCTTTAGCAAAGCCTAAAGTTACCTGTGAACAAGCACCAATTTGTACATCACAGCCAAATGTGTATACTGTACTCGTTCAGTTTGATAACATCAATTTTCGTGTTACATCTTTCATTTTGGCATTAAATTGTTCACAATAAAAAGGCACGTATTTTAAAACTAGTCTCATAATAATAGAGCAATAAATGGAATTTTAACAAATATTTTAATTTTGGATGCTCATCATCACAAAATTATTTATATCTTTCCAGTGTTCTGACATAAATGTTCGTGTTACATCTTTCATTTTGGTATTAAATTGTTCGAAATCTAAAAGGCACACATGTTAAAACTAGTCCCATAATAATAATAGCACAATAAATAGAATTTTAACAAATATTTTAAAATTTTGACCAAAAATGTATTTATAATCTTTCAAGTGTTCTGACATCAAGTTTCGTGTTACATCTTTCATTTTGGTATCAAAATGTGCGCACTTTAAAGGCACTAATTTTGAAACTATCCCAAAGTCGATCGGATAATAAATGAATTTTATACAAATATTTTTTTATCGGACGTACATCATGTCCGATGCTCAGACTCGAGAGAAAAAAATTGAACGCAAGTTGTGTTCGAAGAGTGCTATAGCGTTAAGCAAACATAGGCACTAGGTGACAAAGCATGCCCAACCATTTCTGTCCCCCCCACGGATTTGAACCAGGGGTTCCCAATTGAGAGTCGAGAACAAACCCAATTGTCCTACCGAGACCCTATTTAATTTATGGTTTCGCAAATCCCTCTTAATTTTTGTATTGTTTCTGCACTCTACATTACTACCAAATATTTAACCCAAGTCCTTCCTCCTAGCAAATGTCTAGTCTTAAAATTCTGAAGCTGCCCAGAACTTGCATTCAAGTCATCAATGTACAACACTACCATTTGTAAACTGCCTCATCAAACTTGCCATATTTCGAGACCCTTGGCATTTTACTCTCAGAACCTTTAACACCATAATTTTCACGGCAAAATAACAAACAGCACTGGGGCCAAACTCATCTGCCAGCACCTTCCCTCCTCGATCTCAACACCTTTCTCCAGCAAATTCCGTTTTGGTCATATTAAGAGGGCATTTTTTTTTGTTTTGGTCATTTTTTACTCACAATGAGTACCCAAAGAAAAATAAATGAAAATCTCTAAGTAATGAGAGGTCAAGTGCACTATCACATTATATCATGTCAGTAGTACTGTGCTACTCTCAGAAAAAAATCTGATCGTAATATTGTATTGTACCAATTATGCAATACAGCACGTGGGCATTATTATAACTATATTCTACTAATTATGACAAAACAATCATTACAATGCCTCAGCACTTTTGCAATACACAGGCATATATTTATCAAATATTTGTGATTTTCTGCATAATACATATACTGTACTGTACATATAGCAGCATGTATATTTATATACTGTATACATGTATGTATGTTTCCCCACCAAGATATCTTTGTGTAAGCATAATGTTCAAATAGTTTTTTTGTTTGAAAGATTCTCAAAACCACTTGCAAGGCCCCCCAAGAACAACAAAAAATTACAATCATAAAATGCCGATGAGAAGAGCCCTATATCTCCTCGTGCAATATCAACAACAGCTATTTCTGCTACATCATGAAGGATACAAAAAATATAATTATTTTATTATATTCAACAGTTAATTATTCTCATGAAGCATTTTTGCACAAATTCTCCCTTAAAGTATGTTTCAGCTTTATATCAAGGGTGACTGATGTTGACTGCAAGCATGGCAGTCAACACCACTCAACGAACTTAAAGTGTAAAAAGTGCATTATTATAAATGAACTTTATGTCTAGAAGATTTGTGCAAATATACTTGATCAAGCCATTAGAAACCCCGGGAAAGAAGTGAGGTGGTGCTAGTTAACTTTCCAGGATAATGCTTTTGCCAGAAGTTTATTTTAAGCTCTTTAGTGATCATAACAAGCGTTGAATATTGTGAATAATGCAGAAGAGAATGGCATAAGTAAAAGCAGTTAGAACAAGAAAATAGAGAAAATAAAAAGCTAGAAGGAGAAAAAATAAAAAGCTAGAGGGAGAAAAAAAGGTAAAACAAAAAAGTCAAAGATAGTGGAGAGCAAAAGCAAAAGGTGGCAAATCAGGCTGAATGCTGAAGGTGAAAATGACTGAGAAAGTTCATAGTGGAGAAATGAGAAGCAGGCAAAGTGAAGATTAAGGCAAAATAAAAAATGTAAGACATCTATGTCTTCCTACACTCTGTTATATAAGAGAGAAGATACAAATGGTGAGTGTGCGTGCGTGCCATGAAACATCCAGCTGATACAGTCATCATTCAAAATGTTGTGGCATTTATTCACTGGACAAAATGAATAGGAAATACTTGTACTTTAATAACTGTTAGAAAGAAATATTTGACCTTCACCTAACAATACAATAGGAACCTAGGAAAGATTGTAAGATTACCCCACAAAATAACCTTTGAACACTGAAAACAAATACAAGTCCATTAATATACCCCAGTAGCTCCTTTACTAAACCTCTGACTCTTTCATTCCTGACTAACTACATTCTTCAGTTTCCTCCAGAGAAAACAGCACAAAACTACTAATTTATATACTATAATATAACAGTAAACAATATTGGTTATCATGTTTACTCTAAATGTGCAATTTTAGTTTCAGATTAAGGCCATAAAGATAAAGACAATTTTCAGCATAACTTACAGATATGTAATAAAACTTGGCTTTTTCCATTAAGGCCTTGTTCTCTGGAATTTCCAAGTGGGACTTGCTAAAATGATTGGCAGCAGCAAGGTTAGCTACAAGTGATCTGCACTTCCCATTCTTTGTCACTACAACAGCACAAGTTCCTGCGAGAAAGGATCAAGTTGGAGAACTACTGGATTGTCTGGAAGCTTAGGTAACACTAGAAATAATATGAATAAATAATTAGGTACCATTGAACAGAAGCAAATTTAAGCCACTTAAGTTTACTAGGAAGAAATATGTGTTACAGTAGAGAGAAAATGGAAGATTAATACAGTATAGTGAGATCTTATAAACCAAGCATGTTCACAGGCATTCTGGTTCATAAGAAAAAAGAACACCTTTATATATTGAAGGGCAAAATTTTAGGGCATGCAAGGAGCAACACCTTCAGGGAAGATGCAAGGAGCAACACCTTCAGGGAAGATGCAAGGAGCAACACCTTCAGGGAAGATGCAAGGTCATACCTGAAATTAGGACAAATTTAAGATAAAATAGATAATAATCTAAAAGAACAAAAACCTGCAAAAGACTGGAATATCTTTCTTGATGTTAGAATACAGTACTAAGCATTTATATCCAGAAATAATAAGCTGTGTTTTAGACAGTAAGCAAGGCAGGCACAATTAAATTGGCCATTGGCCAATTACCACCTTTCCAAATCACCACGTTACAAATACTCACCTCTGAGTTTATTTTATTTTCTACATCATTAAATTGTACTACAGAACCTCTCTTGAGTCTCCAGTGATTGAGTGGTTATTTTCATTCTAATCAATGACCATTTCAACAAATGTGAAAATGGATAAAACTGCTAGCAGCCAAGCCATCACGCATTGTTCCACTTTAATACAAGTACAGTATTTCATTAATATTTTTTAGGGCACCACCTAACATGGCCTCTTAGTGACAACATTATTTCCATGTTTAAGCAAAAATGATTTGCTTGTAATCATTGTGATCGATATAATATCTCCTCTGTTGTCCAAGTGTTAATTACAAAATGGTCTTAAGCCAGTGTGACTGATGGTATTGGTATCAATATACAATAGTACAGTACTGTATTTACACGAGATCTTCATCTTATTACACCATTTTTCACTAGTAATGCTATATACGGCTTTATCTTGGTTTGAATGATGCTTCACTTAATGTTAAATGCTAGTGACAATTAACAAAAAATATGCCAAATAATAGCAATATTTTGAAATATATATCATCTAATTTAACAACTCATCCCTATTTTCCCACTTTATCTTCACTTCAATTTGTAATACTATAAATCCATATCAACTTCTATTATTCTAAAGGTTACCTACTCAGATAATTATTTTCTATGTAATGAGTAAGCTCAGGCTTGTCTATGTTGTCCTATTCAGTGTTTCCTATTTCAATTTTGTTTTTAATAAAATCCATCATCTTAAACTATATCCAAATGTTGTACATACTGGAATTGACAGGAACTTTCCCCTTATTTTTATCTAAATTATTTTGCAGTTTGCCATTCTCAAGTGCAACCTACCCGTACTTAAGGTATTCTGTTAGATTCTTACTATATGGTTTTCCCAGTGTTGGGGAGATGAAGCCTGTTAGGTTTATCAAAGTCCCTCCAGGTCAACTGCTGACCTTCCCCTGGATGCAACTCTCAACAATTTACTAACTTCTGATTACTTATTTACTGTTCGGGCTGAGGCTCAGGTAGTTCCGAGGGTTGCCTCTTCCGATGCGGGTGCAGAGGCAGTTGAGCCTCTCCTTCCTATCCCGCTGAGGCTTCCGAGTCTTCCCACCCGGCACCCTACTTAAGTAAATAGGTCCATTAGGTGAAAGGAAATATGTCCTATGTCTGTCCTGATGCAGGAATCTATCACTGATATTTTCAGTTGATCATGCACTGCATGGCACATGCTGCCTATAATAAATTAGGTTCAAAATTCTTTAAAAGCTCTGAATCATTGGACCCTTTTATATACCTGGTTGATACCTGGTTGATGGGGTTCTGGGAGTTCTTCTACTCACCAAGCCCGGCCCGAGGTCTGGCTTGACTTGTGAGAGTTTGGTCCACCAGGCTGTTGCTTGGAGCGGCCCGCAGGCCCACATACCCACCACAGCCCGGTTGGTCCGGCACTCCTTGGAAGAAACAATCTAGTTTCCTCTTGAAGATGTTCACTGTTGTTCCGGCAATATTTCTTTTGCTCACTGGGAGGGTGTTGAACAACAGTGGACCTCTGATGTGTATACAGTGTTCTCTGTGTGCCTATGGCACCTCTGCTCTTCACTGGTTCTACTCTGTCTGCTCTAAAATGAGCAATTTTCTAGAGTGGACTTCAGTGGAGCATGAAAGGCACAATACACACTACCTAGCATCACATTTGCTACTTAAAACTCTATTGATGATTTTACCAATCTTTAGTTACATACTTTCCAGATCAGAGGCACTATCTTCACTGCATAAGCAAATAAAATAAAAGCAAACACATAATGGTATCCTCCTCCCCTGATGAAGATAGTTAACAAGAACAACAGTCCAGGTAACTAACCAGTATCATGTTTATCTTGTTTTTGATAGCGGACAACTACTCCGGCGTCTTTTGCTTTCTTCTCTAAAGTCTTGCTGTAATCATCTTTACCAACTGATCCCATAAATGTTGCGCAATATGGCTTTCTCAATATCCACTGAAATAACAAAATCAAACATAAAATATATACATACAATTTTAGAATTTGAGGTAATTACTCTCAATTAACAATATCCAATGTAATGCTTCATAGCACATGGAACAGTATATGCATCTAGATTTGTACACAAGAAATACAAACATAACATGTTATTAGAAGTAATTGTAAAGGTACAGTATTGCATAGTTTTCTCAACAAATCTCAAGAAAGCAGCATTATAATGTATTGATTAGGATGATTAGTTCACTCATATCTGCAAGTACTGTAAATGCATACAACTTGTATGCACGTCCACCATGAGAATGGACTGCATCTGCCTACCACTGAAACTAATATAGTTAAAGAATGAACTTCTAATACTCACCTGGGCAACACGCATGGTGTTCTGGGTGGCTCCTCCAGCAATGTACTCCACTTTTTCCATGCTTATCATTTCTTTGTACATTGGCTGATGTTTCTCACCAGCAAGGATGGCATTGTTTGCTTCCAGTTCATATTTTTCAAGGAAGTCCTCTTCTGCATTTACACAAATATCTAGCAAGGGATTACCCATGCCAAAAAGTATACCTTCACTGAAATAAGAAGTAAAAAAAAAAAAAATATTTAATTTACCTAAATAAGTGCTAATATCGGATGAAATATCTGAATACACACCAAAACATTTTGATATATATAAAAAGGCATCATCTAACACAAAACAGTTTGATTAATATTTCTAATGCTCATTTTTTTCATATTTCATTGCATGGTTCTAAAGAAAATCTTAATTTTTTTTAATGGGTTATGATGCAGAGTTCTTGTTTCGGGAAAAGGGCAGAGAATGGGAAAGTATGAGGAGATTAAGGGGCAGGTTTAAAATAGTCGTTCACGATGAATTCAGTGTTTTTTTAGAAGAGGAGTTATTGCTGTCATTGTGAAGCAGTGTCTGAAATGATAAACAGGCAGAATTAAGCAGTCTCCATGGTGTAGTGGTAAGACACTCGCCTGGCGTTCCGCGAGCGCTATGTCATGGGTTCGTATCCTGGCCGGGGAGGATTTACTGGGTGCAATTCCTTAACTGTAGCCTCTGTTTAACGCAACAGTAAAATGTGTACTTGGATGAAAAAACGATTCTTCGCGGCAGGGGATCGTATTCCAGGGACCGTAGGATTAAAGACTTGCCCGAAACGCTACGCGTACTAGTGGTTGTACAAGAATGTAACAACTCTTGTATATCTCTCTCTCCAAAAAAAAAAAAAAAAAAAAAAAAAAAAAAAAAAAAAAAAAAAAAAAAAAAAAAAAAAAATGCTGTTGTATCATACTTAGGTGACGGTTTCTTAGATTCAAATATATTTCCTACATTTCTTTATGCTATCAAAGTTTCAGTAAGAATTTTCCAGTAAACCAGGAATGTCTTCCATGTGAATGCCATGAAGGCAGTCTTTTCAGGGCTTTTATTAACAGCTCAAATCATTAAGCATCAATAAGGCTTAAGGTTATAAGCATATATTTTTTTAAATAGACAAGAGAGACCCATATTGACTGTTGGCAGCAGCCATCCATCAGCCTAGTGTTTTATTTAACCTGCATGTCAAAGTGCCGAGAAGCGTTAGTTACAGCGTGATTACCTACTGTAATATGTTAACTGATGCACATCACAGCAATGGGTTAAATCCCACTGAATCTGTTATTAGCAATAATGCTTCCCTGAAAAAGTTTGGAAATACTGTACAGTAGTGTAGTGGGCTCGCGGAATGAGTGGAGCCAATGCGGAAGTTCCGCTCGCGGAACGCCAGGCGAGTGGTAAGACACTCGCCTGACATTCTGCGAGCGCTTTGTCATGGGTTCGTATCCTGGCCGGGGAGGATTTACTGGGCGCAAATCCTTAACTATAGCCTCTGTTTAACTCAACAGTAAAATGGGTACTTGGTTGTAAAAACGATTCTTCGCGGCGGGGATCGTATTCCAGGAACCTGCCCAAAACGCTACACGTACTAATGGCTGTACAGGAATGTAACAACTTTTGTATATATCTATAAAAAAAATGTTCTATACTAAAGGGTCCCATCAGTCACATTAGTTGTTTGGCCTACTGTAGACCAGAGGCAGAACTTAGCCCCTTACAGAGGTGCAGGGAGTGGTAGACATTCTGCCACCCCCACTGGAAAAAGCCTCCAGTCAGCAAAGCTTTACAAACAACCCATCCTCCAGCCAGTAAATCAAATACTAAGTAAAATCAAGTTAGCGCAGTTTTTTTTTTTTTACTTATTCAGCAGACAACCAACTGACAGGACTCTGTATAATAATGTTTTTTCTGAATTGCAAATTAATATTATTACATACTGTGGGTTTATTTATAGTTAGGTCAAGGCTAGGTTAGGTTAGGTGTTTTGGTTACATTGATTTATGAAGTGTTTACACTACAGACTGAAAGTGAATAAAGCACGTTTCAAGTCATAGCCTCGAATATGGCTGAGTGGACTGCAAGTCCAAATACCCTACTGACTACAAAAACTCATGTAGAATTTTGTATTTCTGGCCATGACCCAAAGCCATCTCCCTTGCTTAGCTCTGGAGTCAATGAACAACCCCCATGATGAGCTGATGAACCTTCAGGGAGGAATGGAGTCACGCAACCAACAAGATACCTCCAGAAAGAGGCATTTCATTACATTCAATGCTGGGGGTTCTTGAGGAAGCCTCTAGTGGCTCCCTGAACCTAACTAACCACATAGAACAAAACAGCATCTACCAGGAAGGAGGGGAGGTAGCAGACACTAAGACAAAAAAGAGAACTAAGGTTGGGAGAGATGGTCCAAAGCCACACAGACATGATCGTCTGAGACCAGGAACATTAAATACTGGGCAGCCAGGACCCTGGTGAAACACCAAAACCCTCATGCCCGAACATCAGCCCAGGACATGTCTGAAAAGACGGCATCCATAGCTGAGTAAATGCAATCATGGGGGCTGAGGGTAAACCGCAGGCTGGCTAGACTTTATGACACTGTAGACGAACCAGGAACTACGAGTCTTCGAACATAGAACCAAGGAAACGGGGTCAACCAACAGAATTGGTGGCATACAGGTAGTGCTGATGAACCTCCAGTGGACAACACAATCCACCCCTGGCCAAACCAACCAAGCATCAATCACCAAAGACTCCTCTGGATGCCTGCCAACACATTCTGTGCCAGAAAAGAAAGAGAAGGCTGCAAATGAACAACCCCCCCCACCAGGGGTCCCCTGGTGGTTTATGACTAAGAAGATAGTCATAAGGAAGGTACCATGAAGTAAAGGAAAAACTGAGAACCAAGGTGAGGAGAGAAAAACCAAAGCTCTGGTCAAGAGACCAGGATGGCTCAGAAGCATTTGCAGGCCAGAGGTGAAAACACACATGAGAACTTGCAAAATGTTACCACAGAAGTACTGACACTGAAAGCAAGCAACAGCAGCTCCACCAATGCCATACGATAAGAGGAGCCAGTATTCAGCATAAGATGACAATCGAGAAACAACCACAACAAAGAGAACAGACATGATCAAAACTGGAGACGATGCAGACACATGTACTATAGTGGTGAAAAACACCAGGCAGCTTCATTCTGTCACTGTAAGGAAAAATGCAATGAGGACACCAACAAACCAGCTACCCATCCTCTTGTTTATATAGTAGTTTTTGTAACTATATGCACCATACCACAAAGACTGATGTACTAAGCAATTAGTGGAATTTGGTACAATTAACTTTATAGTCTGAAAAAAATGAAGCTAAAAAACAAATATTCCTAGTCCTAGGATAGCATACACATGTACTATATTAGGCCTCAGAGTGTGTATTAGGCCTAGGAAGGTTAGGTTAGCTTAGTTTGTCTATGCAACTTTAATAGAAAATCTTTTCCAGTTTTTCATTGACATTTAAATTTAATACTGTAGTACCAATTTCTACTTTCTAATTGCGGTGTACATCGGTATATGTACCATGGTCCTTATCATTACTACAAGTATTACCAAAACAGGAGGATGGGCTGGATAATGGTGATAGACATGTGCCATAAACTCCAATGCAAAAAGCAGAGAATTCAAATCACTGAAGTACACTGTCCGGCCGATCTGCTGGAAAGGCAGAGGTGCGGAAAAAAACGCCCAGGTTTTAACACTGGGCTAGCAGTGCCAAAAAATAAGGATGGGCCAGCAACAAAGGAGCCAGAAGGACCACTCTTCCTGAGTATAACTCAAGACTGGATACCACCCAGAGCAGCTACTGATCTGAAGGGAAAAAGGTAAATGCATATTCACCTAAACCGGTCAAGTTGCAAGCCATCCATCATGAGAGCCTCATTATCAGAGAACAAAGCCACGCAGGAGGGAAGGTGTTGGTTACCATGCGAAGTGGTCTACCTTTGGGCAACTGAACGTCTCACAGATCCAACTGAAGGATGCAGTGTTGATGGTTCACTCGGTAGAAATGACACAAACCGAGATAACCCTTCTTCGAGAATGTTAGACACATCTCCATATATGAAGCACATGGAGAACCAAGCCCCAAGAAACTACAAGCTGATATACTTGAAGTGCCCAGCTAAACCTTGCCCCGACTCTGAAGCCTTCTGACACTTCGGAATTGGAACCATGAATAAGAGATCGACAGGGGGGGATCGACAGTTACAGCCCCGCTCCTGTGCCAGGTAAGTCCACTACGAGCTCACCATAGCCCATGGTACTTGGAACTTTATGTTCCCAGTAGCTGAAACAAAAGGATGGGGAGGGTGAGTGAGTGAGTGAGTGAGTGAGTGAGTGAGTGAGTGAGTGAGTGAGTGAGTGAGTGAGTGAGTGAGTGAGTGAGTGAGTGAGTGAGTGAGTGAGTGAGTGAGTGAAAAAAATTAGTTAGTTCAAGTTCAAGTATCTTTATTGAGACAAGAAATACATCTCAATAATTAGTTAGTACAGGTAGTTAGTAACAGTTGATTGATTGATAGTTGAGAGGCGGGCCGAAAGAGCAGAGCTCAACCTCGCAAGCACAACTAGGTGAATACATGGGCGTGTACACATAAGAGCACACGTGAGAGTACAGGGTGTGAGCACGTGTGTGTACAAACGTGTACACACCATGGGCTTCAACACCACATGTTCGCCAATGGGCGTTACATAAGAGTACAATGATGTGTACATGTTTGAGTACATTGTGTGCGCACGTGTAACGAGTGTACAAACACTATGAGAAATATTGAGAAAGGGAAATGGGGAGATTCCTCCTACGAAGATCAGTTCTACCATCCAAGGTTATAGAAGGAATGAGACTTCAAAAAAGTTTATCCCATAACACACACAATTGAGAAAGGACGCGGACACCATGCATGAGCGTACATATCCTAGCCGGCTGAAGGAGTGATTTGTTGACAGGACATTCTGAATAATGATATCTGATCGACGCGGTAGATGGTTAGAGGACAGGAACTGGTGTTGTGTGGGTGGATGGCTGGGTGGGGTGGGGTTATTCTGTAGTCAGATCAATGAGGCAAGGTTGTGAATGGCAAGTCAGGTGATACTACGTGCTAAAACAACTACTCCAGTGCATACCATTGGCCAACTT